ACAACTTTAGACCCATTATTTCAAAAGTTATAACTATTTTAAAATATATAGTAGAGGTTATGTTGTTTTTATCATTACGTATCACTTTGTCATGTTTTTCCTTTACTTCTTCTTCTTCTTCCTCGCCTTAATCCCAACTACTTGGAGTCGGCCACTTCCACTTGACACGATCTCCCACATCATCTACACTCACATCAGCTGTCCTCATATCGCAATCGCTCTTCCTTTACTCTATATTTAAAAATGTTGATTACTTCTTAATAATTTTCTTGATGCAATTATTATTTTAAAAGAAATCAAATGGCTAACATTAAAAGAATCAAACTGTTTACAACAACTTTATAACTTTTTATAATTTTTCGTAAATTATACAATATTAAATTATTCAATATCTATTTCATACTAAATTTAATTACTATAATAAGTATTTATTCATGTATTATGCTTATAAATCATAAAATAAATAAGGAAGTAGGAGTTTATGATGATTTTGGAATAATTTATTAATTCCTTTTAAAAATTAAACACTTTTTACAGGTTTCATCGAAACGCATTTTATAATAGTAATTTTAATCACTATCAGATATTATCTATAATTGTCCCGACTGTGTCGCGACCCCAATGTGTATTTTTTTTTTATTGCAGTACTTACAAATAGTTTGCATAATCGGACATGACATTTTTAAACAAATAGTAACAGATGTTACTAATTGTTGATTTTTATTGCATTGTATTCTGTCGGACTATTCATAACTCAGTGAGGTTTTTATACAATGCCTAGTAAATTTTTGATGATTATAATGACAATTGTATTCAATAGAAATTCTTATTCAGGTTAAAACGCTATATTTTTCAAATAGGTTATAGTCTTTAAATTTATAAAGACTTAAGTACACAGTCATTAATATTTTAATTACCACTCCTTTTGAAGTTTGGATAGCTGCCCTGTGGAAGTTAAAATCGGGTATCACTTGTTGTACTGACAAAGTTAAGGCTACTTATTAAGAAATAACTCCTCTATTTTTATAAAAAATTTTCAACCCCTTATATTTTGTTCTAGCTTTACCACGATAATTTTATATGTTTATAGTTAGCAGCCGCGCCGACGTGCGACCACAGTTCGGATCACTCGGGAGAGGCTGATAGCGCTCTGCACACCATCTTCCGGTGCGAGGCGTGGGCTCAGGAGCGGGACTCTTTGGAGTCCCGACTAGGGTCCACGTTCCGAGTCGGATCCATGGTGGACCTGATGTTGAGGAGCCGGGAGGCGTTCGCCGAATCCATCTTGTTAAAGAAGAAGGAAGCGGAACGCCTGAGACAGAGGCAGCTACGCCGCCCGGCACAGGAAGACCTGAGGCGCTGGTTTAGGCCGGTGCCTTAGGTTTTTGTTTTTGTTTGTGAGTTGTTTTGGCAATCCGTCCTAACGGTTCCCACTCTGAGATCCGGTTAACGGGAGGAGGCCACACCACGTTGCAAATCAGCTCTTGATTAATTTCGGGTTGATTCACAACGTGGTGGTGTGAATTATTAAGACGGCGTGGGCCGCCCTGAAGTAATGCTTAACAGCAGTTCTACGATGGCTCACAATAAGCCTGTCGAGAAAAAAAAAACCTAACCCCTACCTTTTTTAGAATAAAGAAATCCAATGAAAAAGGTTATCAGTATCTTCGATTTAAAACTCACATGACCCTAATAGTGTGTATACACTATGATTTTTTATGAAAACACCATCACTATTACTATTACTAAACGTGTATGTTCTGACAGATAATCACTTACTGCTAATCCTAATTTGCCATTGCTTATGTATACCATATTCACCATGAATACAAAATAAAGTCCGAAATTTTTTTTTTCATGATAAAGTATATTACATTAGCTTTAATTTAAGATATATATAAAAGTGTCAGAGTTTCGGGAACACTTTCAAAAGTTAAGTTGAAAAAGTTAATTTTTTTAAAAAAAGTTGTCATATTAAATCATTCCCTGTGGGCAGGTTAAGGGTCAGATTTATAAAAAATATATACCAAATGATAGGTAAAGACATCATGCATCTATAAAAAAAATTATATTGATTTGATCATTTTTAAAAAAGTTATGGCAGTTTTAATTAAAACAAATTGAAAAAATGTCGACTAGATACGATTTGTGATTTTTTGACGTATCGTTGAAAGAAATCGGTTCGTTGAGAGCTGTGAAAAAGTGGTAACAGACACAAAAAATAACTCATCATAGTATAACTAATACCTTCTCAGCTTCGCATCGAAGCTAATATATTAATCTTTAAGACAAACATGTAGTAGGTAAAAAGAACCAAATTTATAAATATTTGACTATTTATTAGAATATTATAGAATATGATATTTCACGTTATTATCTGATTTCGTTATTAATTCGGCATTATATTTTAACTTCGATGCGAAGATGAGAAAGTATTGGTTTTACTATAATGTTTTTTATTTATTTTATTATTATCTTTTTTGTCTGTTACCACTTTTTCTCAGCTCTCACCAAACCGAAAGAACACAAATTGTATCTAGTCTAAAACATTACCCTCAAAATTGAAAAAATTATCCTCATTCCCCTTAAATGGGGGAAACCTCCAAAAAAATTACAAATTTAAAAATCACTAATTTTCGAAATTTTTTCAAGTTTTTTTACTTAAAAATGTCATAACTTTTTGAAAAATGTACGGATCTAAAATATTACTAAAAGTAATATTTTTGGCGTGCAATAACCAATTAATAAGATAACATGTAATATATGTGATAACTAACATATTATGTTAGTTCAATAATAATTATAGTTGTTATAGACGAAAAATATAAAGAACAATTATTATTCACAATTGTTTGAATGAGTATTATAAAAGTTTGTCATAGAATAATAGGCAAAAGAATAAAAATTTATTTTCTATAAAGTTAGGATATTGTTTAAAAAAATTTGAAGATTTTTAGAACAAAAAGTAATGTGATAGAATTTATTTTCAATTATTTTGATGCGCAATTTTAAACACATTTTCTTCACATATCAGATGTTTATTTTAATTAAGTAATATTAACCTGCTGCCATGACATTATTTCTACATATTGAAATAAATATTTTGAACTGGCTTAGTCCATACCATGGGTGTTTTCAGTTTTTGATTAATCAGTAGAATATATGTTAAACAATAAATGAGAGAATATTTTACCGTTGGGTTTATGGATTGAATTGGATGATTTAGTGAAAATCCCTAAAGCTTTATAAATTTAATGTATTTTACAAGTAGTAACATTGAGTATCAAACAGGGTCACATTTTGAACTTATTAAATGGGAGCGACGTTATTTTTACTATGAGAGCATGCTTGAGAAAATTATTTCGCTTAAAAATTGAAAAAAAACAAATATATATACAGGGTGGTTCATTAAGAATAAGACACTAATTTTTCCTGAAATAATTATTATAATCGAAAAAATATTGTTTGATTCAATAAACTTATAATAATATGTAGTTAAATAATTTTTATTTCATAATTTCTGGAATAAAATCTTTATCATTAATTTTTTTATAAATAAAAAAAACCCAGCACAGAGGGTCGCAGCGCAGTGGTGACGTGGCATAATTGGGTCAAGTATGGATGATATCTGACAAAGATTAAAATCACTATCATAAAAAATGCTTCGATACGAATCTTATATATATATTACAATCATTTGTATATTAATAATTTTTACAATAATAATTATAGGATAGTTTTTAATATTGTGGAGCAATTCAAGAACTTTAATTTGAAATAGGTCAAAATAGAACTGACGTCTTGGAATATTTTCAAAATTAAAGATTAAAAAATTTGACATTGGATTTTCACAAAAAGTATATAATATAGAAAGCTTTAAATAATATAGATACCTTTAAAATTTAATCATAAGGTTCTATTAAAAATATTTAATTTTGTATAGGTTTGGGGAATTAGATGTCTTGGAAAATTTTCAAAAATTAATAAATAAGTAACTTTTTTGTTTTGTTAACCGAATTCTCTTAATAATACAATTGTGCGATAGTTTTATTTTTAAATTGTTGTGCACTTTAATTTTATTTTTTTCTATCTTTTTTATTTTTTGTTTATATTTTGTTTTTGTTTATTTTTTTTTATTCCAGAAATTATGAAATAAAAATTATTTTATTAATTTAATTTAAATAATATTCAATAGATAAAATTGGAACACTATCCCATATTATTAGACATTATTCAGTTATAAACAGATAAATATATGGTGTGTTAATGAACACTTATAAGGCCATAATACTATCGAACGTTTCAAAAGTAATTTTATCTGAATTAATAAATGTTTTCTTGGGTGTCGACAGCTAAACTTACAGTAACATTTTCAATGGGTTTTTTTTTATGGTAGTGTTTTACTTTTATTAACACTCTATAAAATACAATATAATGTCGTTGAAAGATAGCGGCTATAAAAGTTAAGGTCATCGTAGATGGGTTAAAAATTCAAGGTCGCGGGTTTAAAGTAGAACATTAACCGTGGTGTATTCACTCAGTGTTTCTTCATTTTTCTAATGGTTCATGTACAGGACTCCGTAGGGTCCGTACACCATGTAAATAAAATTATATTAACAGGAAGTACTGAAGGAGTGCATCTCTCCTCTACTTTACGTTCTAAAAGCTAACTGGACCCCCATAAAAAATTTCCAAATACACCACTACATCCTTCAAACTCTCCTGTAATTTTATCAAGTCATCTTCTTTAACTTAATTTAACATTGTATGTATTATGCATCGAAAAAACACTACATGCATATTTACGGCGTGTGGTTTTTTTATTATGAATTGAGCAGGACTTCGTACGTAGAATATAGTTCACGTAGGCGTGTTGGATTGTTTATTTATGCATATACACGCAAAGGACGAGTAACACGCGATTCACAATGTTAGAGGTGGTGGTGTTGCAAGGCGGTGGCGGATTGATCGTCCCGCACTTTCTGTAACGCATTTGGCCATAGAGTGCCGGTCGATTTGGTTTTGTAGACTCTACAACGTAATAACATCAGCACAATGACAGTTACCTTTCGATCAAAAAAAGTCTAGTATACCCTTTGCTAAGCACTGCATGGACGTCGATTTGATCGTTGCTGAGTATCAACAACCGACTGACAGTTCACGAGGACATATTTCACCGACATAAAACGAGTAAGTATAGTAATTCAAGCAGCGAAAGCTTCATGAAAGGGTATAGCGTTGACGATAAAGAGACACAAGTTATGCTATTATTCTGAAAATCATGGCGACAAAGGCTTTTGTAAGACAAGAAATTTTATGTTTTTCGTGTTGGTTTTATTTTCATCACTTCAAACAAACAACATTTATGTTCATAAATATTGCTTAAACAATAACCATGAATAATATTTCAATAATTACAGAAAATCGCATTTTTTTTATACTTACATTATTTTTATAGTCCATTGAAATCATTGATTAAAAAATTAATTTTAATCAATCATTTACAATTACCATTACTATTCTTATATTTTATTTTTTATAAATTTATATATTTCTTTATCATAATTTTAGTTATTTTCAACATTTAGATAACTAATAATAAGAATACATTTGGATTATCATACAAAATTAACTAAAGATAATATTTCCTTTTGTCATTTTAATTGAACCGCCAAAGGAAATTGACTGATGTTGAACTTCTGTAATTGGGTTGAGGAATACATCTTGATTCGTCATTCAAGATTTTCCTTTACAACTCAAATTTAATACTATTCAGTATTAAGGTATTTGAAATAAGTATATAAACTCTTTCTCTAATTATAAATTAGAGAAGTCAATATACTAATGTTACGAAAATAAACCAATAGAAATGGACACGATTCTCAATTTTTGAGTATTCCAATTATAAAGCGTCTGTAAAATTATTATTTTTTAGGAAAAAGCAAAATCCAAATGAGAAAAAAGGGTAGTAGTAATTTATTAACACCACTTTTTTGAAAATAGATGCTGTTAAATATATCTGTCACCGATTTCAAAGTTTCCATCATTTATTGAAGTTCAACTCAATAATATCATTTGCAAAGCCTAATTTATAAGGAAAACCGCTGCAAATAATTCAGTATAACAATAAACCTTAGTTATACATATTTAAAACAAGTATTCACAAAACTATTTTATCATTTCCGTTCTACGAATAATTAATTATTTAGTTGTTGGGCGACTATATATTGCAATACATAAAATACAAGATGAATTTGGTCGGGTATAAAAATTCACAATAAATATTATTATATAGAATTATACTGTATCATTAAGTTAATTAAATTGGTATTTTAATTAAACAAATTTACATATTTTTGTCATTTAATAACTCACTTATCTGATTTTTAAATAAGTATAATAAAACTTGAACCATTTAATTAATTGAAATTATTGGTTAACCTAAAATTAATAATTCTTTAATATAATTTTATAATATGATTATACAATAAATTAATATCAAACCTTATTCCCTTGTATATAAAGGACTTTCTTTAAAAAATTCCGAGGCTAAATACCATCCTACATTTTAGACATAAAAGTAATGTAATCACCTTAATTTTATGTTAAATTGCCAATACTTAAAACAACGTTATTTTTAAATAATAGAAATGTCTGTACGTAGTAATACATTATGTTGATTCAATATATTTTTATAATGAACCTATTTAGGTTGTTATCCAGTATTCCATATTCTATGGCCATCACTATGAAATATGATATTTATTATTGTAATTACAATTTTTAAGTGGGCCAATGACAAGAATCAAAATTTGTCACGGTATATAAAGTACAGGAAACAGGATTACTTTATATAAGGTAATACTGTTTTAGAAGAGGTTACATTGGTCTAAATATAAAAAAAGACTACAATAAAAATGATTAAAGACAATATATTATATAAATTACAAACAATATATAATACATATTTACATTATCATCATAATTTTGTAGCTTAAGACCTATATTATAACATGAATATCAAAAAAAAAAATTAAATAGATTTAATTGTAATAATCTTATTTTAAGACTATTCAATTATGAATAACAAATCATTAATGAAACATTTGAATAATTTTAGTTTTTTCATTAAAAATTTCAAAACAGTTTTCAACCATTATTGATTTAAAGATTTTCATTTGGTAAACAAAATGAGTTCTATTTGAAAAATTATCGCAGAATTTTAGATTTTTTATACAGTTATTCTAAAAGGTTTAAATTTCAGAGATATATTTAAATTTCTATTTGAAAAAAATACTCTTTATAGTGAGATTTCCTTTAATTTCCAAGAAATGTTAATGACGACAACACGATAGACGACTGTCGAAGATATTATTCATAAACAATATCTAAATTTAAATATAAGCGATAGCGATAAATATAACAGTTGCGGAAAGTCTTTAGCAATATCGCGCACCTGTACAGGTGATTTTATATTTTAATTTTTATGTAAGAGACAAAAGTACTACGAATTTATTTTTAATTGCGCAATTCCAAACATAAGTGATTTGAAATTGAAGAAAATTCAACTATTAGTCATTTGAAGAATACCCACCAATTCAAAGGAGAAAAAAGATTAAGTTTTTTATTTAACTTAAATTATTTATCTTTGAATTAATTTTTATAGAAATTATTCGAAAAATTACTTTTATAGAACTCAGTAGAAATTTCCTGGCGTATCTTTTAAAAATATTTTATTTTTTTTTTTTTTGAAGCTAAATGCATATTTTAACTTTGCGATACTGAGAAAGTATTAATTTTACCGTTTTTTCTTTGTGTCTGTTACCACATTTTCACAGCTACACCTGACCGATTTCTTTCAACGATACGTCAAAAGATCACAAATCGTATCTAGTCGAAGACATTACTCTAAAAAATTTAGAACATTTTCTTTGTTTCCCATAAATAGGAAAAATAATATTTCGGACTATATTTTGTCTTTACGATGAAAATTACTACCGTATGCTATTTTTGATTCAAAATGCATGATTTTATATTTTACATATTTAACTTTATATTTCTATAATAACAATTTTCTTAGTTATGATGCGAAGCTGAGAAGGTATTAATTTTAATGTGTTTTTTTTTTAATTTTTTGTGCCTGATACCACATTTTCTCAGCTCTCACCGAACCGATTTCTTTCAACGATACGTCAAAAGAACACAAATCGTATCTAGTCTAAGACATTACCCTCAAAAATAAAAAAATTTCACGGTGAAAACAGACATTGTAATCATTTACAATTAACTTTTGATGTTTAAAAAGATTTTACAATTGAAATATGCAGAACTGAATTAGATTTACTAGTTATCTGAATTAGATGAAGATCTACTCAAATGAGCATATTATAAAGTTTTATTATAATTGTAAAAATCCATTGTTAAATTCAGTGGAAATTAAATATCTTTTTTTTTTTAGATTTTTTAGAACTTTTTCAACTTAACTTTTGTATATGTTGAATATATGTAATAATAATATATATTATTGTTTTGTATNTCAACTTAACTTTTGTATATGTTGTATATATGTAATAATAATATATATTATTGTTTTGTATATGTAAAGCTGAGAGGGTATTTTTTTGTGACTATCATTTATTTTCTCTGCTCTAACTTGACTTACTTTTTTCAACGATAAGTCAAATTATTACAATTTGTATCTATTTGAAGATATTACCCTAAAAAATTGAAACATATTTCTAATTTATCAATTAAACAGTTACTTATCCCATGTTCTCCATACAAACAATTAAAATCATTCATTTATAATGTTTTCAAAGTATGTACTGACGAAACAAGTTCGATATGATAGGTTTTAATTACAAAATTAATTCATTTTGCTTTGTTATTTAATAATTTTTATACTCTATTTATGTGTGCTACTACTAGACTATAAAATTCCAAATATTTTGGTAACATGTTGCTATATAAATTATTAAAAAAAAATAATAATTGTTAGTTTCTCCTAAATTAACATTAAATTTTTAAATCTTTATAACAACTTTTTTTTTGATTAGTTATTTTAGTTAAAGTAAATCATTAAAATTAATTCAGTACATGTTTCAATTATAGAATTTTTTTAAACACCAAAAGTTACTTGGAAATGATTATTAATATTTCTAATTAAGTTATCTATTACGATAAAAATGGAAAAAATATTGAGCTTTTCTGTTAAATTTACTATAAATAGTTATTATAAATTTTCCTGACTGCATATTGATCTTAACGATACAATTTTTTTAATTCTCATAAAATTTCCTATTTAATGATGTCAATTTCAAACTTGCAAAATGAGCTAAAAGTTATGGTAATAAATAATTTTTTTTAAATTATAAATTTAAACGAAAATCAACTTTAAAGAATTAAAAAAATAGGTTAAATATGTCATTTTCTTTATTTTTAACATATTAATAATCAAAATCAGTATTAATTTAAAACAATTTTTTTGTGGTCTTAATTATTTTTTTATTTGTAAATACTTATTTTTTAATAATATTATTAATAATAAAACTTAGGAGTAATAGTAAAAGTCTAATTGCACATTTGAAAACATCGCAAAAAGTTGATTTAGAAAAGTATATTTTTGTTTCTGATGAAAGTTCGTTGTAGTCCAGTTTATAAAACTTATAACTTTGTTATAAATAACAAATATTTTTATTGAAAAGTATTGCATTAATTTATTGCAAGTAAAGAAATATACAACTACTTTATTAATTTTATAATATCTCCGTAAAAATTACAATATTAAATTATTGAATATCAATTTCATACTAAATTTAATTACTATAATTATTATTTATTCATATATTATAATGATAAATCAAATAACTAATTGAGATAAAATTAAGGGAATAAGAGTTATTGTTGCTTTTGAAATAATCTACCAATTTCTTAAAATTAAACACTATCTACAGATTTGCATCGAAGCGTTTCTTACGATAGCGATTTTAATCAGTCAGATATCTACACTTGTCCCAACTTTGCCACTTCCATACTGTGCTACCGTGTTTTATGTTAAACAGTCGTAAATATCATGTTTCTAAGAATTCCATATAAAATGTAATTTTTTATTTACTCTTTATTATCTGGTAATCATGTAACATAATGATTATTTAAATGTATTTTTTATCCTGTTTTTAAACTTACAATGTTTTTAGGATGATAACGTTTGGTCAACATTATGCCATTACCCTAGCCGCTCATCACCACAAAACAAAACAACTGCATGATGAGCAATACAACCACCAGACTCATCACAACACTTCGCCTGGTGGTGTAAACATTTTACTGGGAGGGTAATAATACGAATTATATTTAAACATTTAATATTTATTCATTTTTGAGTAATCTGGCATAATATAATATAATAATTATTAGTACATTCAATGTTATAAAGATTTCTAATTGAAAAAGTGCAGTGGATATGAAAATATAATATCCATACATCTTTATCAGCCTTCGCTTTTTTATAGCAAACATTTTTTGCCACAATGTAAAGTAGAAACACGAACATTGTATTCATATAATTATAGTCAAAAGCAAATAAATAAACATTTAAAATCGATTACTTTAATAAAAATATATATAAACCCAGGTAGGTTATCAAAGGTATATTATAGGAATATAAACCCTCTGGAATTCTTAACCACTTTTTTGAGCTGTGTCATCATGCAATTATTTCGTCATATTTTGACGAAGCATTAGAATATTGAAATTAAATAAAAAAATCCGAATCGAATTTTAAACATAATTTTCATTACACTTGTCAAACTAGAAAATTGTTTAAATTTGAATAATTAACTTTTTTTGGTAAATTTTTTTAAAATCTAATTTGGTCTGGTTTAAAAATTATAGTTAGTTACATTACTAGTACATACAAAATAGATTTCAAGATCTATATAGAGTGCTTGAATTAAAATGAGTTACAATAATTAAATGATGAAATATATTATATTAAATGTTATACATTTATATTACATTTAATAATCTTAATAAAAAAAAATGCATGATAATGTCTGTAAACTGAAATTAAAATACAAAAATTACAGGAATCCTTGCACTTTATAAAGCTCTATTCATGAAATATACTCTTGCGTATTAAAAATACAATTTACCTGAGTAGCAAATTATTAAAATGTATTTCTATTTACAATAAGTTTTCTAACTTTAATTAGAAAATTTTAACCTCAGCTAAATTTATAAGAATGATTAAAAATTATAATTACTACCATTTACTATGTAGTGTTATGATGAGTAGCATGATATTATTCATTTTATGGATGTGTTATTGCTGTCGGTGGAAAGATAACAAGTTTGAAACATCATCGTACGTAGATCAACCACAACCATATTGGATTGATGTTAACCCTACAACTTACTATGAAACATTACAATGGTCTTTACAACAAGTAATCAAAATGTATTAAATATAAATTATTAATATTATATGACTAGGCATTGCTCGTATTAATAAATTAATTTTAAAACAAAATAGTAAAGAACAACTTAAATTTTTCATGTAAAAGCCTTCCTTCAGTTTTTTTTTAATTATTATGGAAAATAAAATAACATTTTATTTTATTAGTTTTGATAATTATAATGGATACTAATTATTTTAAATTTGTATAATTGTTTGATTATTAAGTTTTATAATTTTAATTATTAAAATACAAAATAAAAAATAACTGTGTAATGAAATTACTATTTACCTTGACAAATAAATTCTTTGTATTATAACCCTATGTAAAAATAATATCCTCAGGATATTTTAAACTTTGGACACTAGATAAAAATAAAAACTTAGACAGATAATGTATAAAAGAGTATGTCTCTAATTTTATACATTAATTTTTCAATTTTTAAATATATGATAAAAATAATAATGTTTATAATTAAGGAATGTTGTGAAATACCTGAAACAAGTTTTCAACCAGAGTGTTTTCAAGAAAATCCCCCAAGATATGAAGCAGTAATCACTCCACCACCAAGATATGATGATGTAATAAAAGAAAATTTAAAAAAGAAAAAAATTATTTTAGATATCTTGGCAAACAACAAAATGCACACAATTTGATGAAACTTTATAGCTATATAGCAGGAGAAACAGGGACAAAAAATTTAACATAGGTTTTAATTTTTTATTTATTTAATCAAAAAAAGTTATTATTAAAATTATAAATTATTTTTGTTTGTATTTAAAATTTTATTTATAAATATGTATAAAATTTATACATATTTATATTATATTAATATTATTTAATAATATTTGTAGAAATTTCTTTTGGCATTTAAAGTTTGCTAATTAGTAGTAAAAAACATTTGTGATAAAATTAATTGATAATGATTGATTAATCAAGCATAAGTCTGGCTTCTTTACCATTTATAACTCGTTTCATTCCATGCTTTATAGCGAAATCTCGCTTAATATAAGCAAATAACAAATCTGTTATAAGAAATATCTGAAAATAAATTAATGCATGTTAAAATATTGTAAAATTTATGATTATATAAACATTAATTATAAATTTATGTATATTAAACAATGTTGTTAAACTATAAAAATATAGTGCCTTTATAATTATTAAAATTAAGAGTACTTATGTTATATGATTTAGAAAATTAAATGAATTAGAATTTTAGCAAAATAAACAGAAGAAAATAATTAATAGCAAGTTCCTATGTTCAAATCCATATTTAAGTGGTTAATAAGTAAAAGTAAATGTGATATTTCATAGAAAGGTTTCATCTCTTAAAGATTTATTAAAATCATTAATGTCATTTTAAAAATATTTGTGGACTTTTTTTATTTAATAAGATAATTTAGTCAGCAAAATTTACTCTTCTAAAATACTTTCTAAAAATTAATAACAGAATTATCCATAAAAATAAATACCTGTGATTATATTTTAGGTGTTAACATTTTTATTTATTAATCAACAAATTTTGAAAATTAATAAGAAGAGAAAATCATTAATATTATATATCATGCTCCAAAGGCTTTATAGATCAGAAACTTATTACAAGAAAATGATTAATATTTTTATAAACATGTTAACACTAAATAATTATTAATTAAAAAAAAACCCAGCACAGTGAGGATGTGGCATAATTGTGTCCAGTATAGATATAATCTGACAGTGATTAAAATCAATATCATAAAAAAAAACGCTTTGATGCAAATCTGTAGATAGTATTTAATTCTATGAAATTGGTAGATAATTACAAAGGTAACATCATCTTCTATTACCTTAAATATATCCAGATTAGTAATTCTTAGATTCAAAAATATAATATACAATTTTTAATTATATATTGACACGGTACAGTGTTTCCCTCAGCCGCACATCACGTTATCAACCTAAATGAAAGTGTATCGGGATCTGAATCATAAGTGCACCGTGGCCTAGTGGTAAGGTTTGTCTTTACGACGCCTTGGGTCGCGGGTTCTAATCCCGTACCGTGCCTCTTTTTTTCACATGATTTCCGGTACACTTTCTTAAGTGTTAATATTATATTATTTTTATAATTAATTCTTTTCAAATTATTATTGATTTTTAATATGTTAAAAGTAATAATTTTTTACCTACTTTTATTCGTCTATTAAAGTGAAAGTTAATAATAAATAAGCGTGTTAAAAAAAAAATTAATTTATTACCATAACTTTAAGCTCAACTTACAAGTTTGAAATTGACATCATTAAATAGAAAAAAGTGAAATTGTTAATATTAAAATATGCAGTCAGCAAATTTTATCATTACTATTTACAATAAATTTATCAGGAAAGCTCTATTTTTTTTTTTTGCATTTTAATTATAATAGATCACTTAAATATAAATCATAGTAATAATTTACAATTAACTTTTGGTGTTTAAAAAGATTTTACAATTGAAATATGCAAAACTGAATTAGATCTACTAGTCATCTGAATTAGATGACAATCTACTCAAATGAGCATATTATAAAATTTTATTATAATTGTAAAAATCCATTGTTAAATTCAGGTGAAATTAAATATCATTTTTTTTTAGATTTTTTAGAACTTTTTCAACTTAACTTTTGAAAATGTTCCGGAAAGACTGACACTTGTATATATACTAGGTTTCTGTAATATACTTTAATTTGAAAAAAATAAATGTACATACTGTGCCGCTACCCCACTGTGCTGTTTTTTTTTTATATTGAAATCTTAAATGTTTTCCTTTTATTTAATATCATTTTTTTGAAAATCTGACTCTAAATCTGCCCAAATGGAAGATTCAAAAAAGCAATTTTTGCACACAAATAAAGCTTTTTCAATTAAATTTTTGAAAATATTCCGAAATATTGACACTTTTATTTAATCTTAAATTAAAGTTTATATTATATACTTTACTATGAAAAAAAAAAAATTTGCAATATAGATTTTCTTTTTTGTGAAAATTGCTACCGTATTCAAAAATATGCTATTTTTGTGTTATAATTTTAGGTTTTGTATTTTATTTTAAAATATTTACAAGGAGAATACACTGACTTTCATGAATATTATAAAATTTAATTGACATAGAATTAAGTTCATAAGACATAAGAATTTAAACTTATTTAAATTTTGTTGCTTTAATAAAGTCAAAAAGTAACTTTAAAATTTGAATTAGCTTAAATTGCTAATTTTATCACATAATGAAAATGAAGATTAGTTGCCGAATCGGTAACACTTGTGTTATACATGCTTAGGGTACGAGGTTTGAATTGGTCTGTGACAATTAATATTTTGCAATTTTTTTTGAGTTAAAAAAAAAATGGTCAAATCATTTAATTTTTATCTCATTTAGATTCAATAACTTCAATAATTATTGAGGATCTCATCACTGTAGTCTTCCCTCGTAAGAAGAAATATCTTATTCATGTTAATAATATTTTATTATGTGGTTTTATTTGTGGCTTTGATTTATTTTCTCAACCCTCAATTAACCTACTTTTTCAGCGATACATCAAATGGTTACAACTCGTATTTAGTTGAAGATATTACTCTCAAAAATTTAAAAAAATCCCTTTATCAATTAAGGGAATCAATCAATTTAATAAAAAGTAGCTTAACCAGCTTTATCCATACAAACTATAAAAATCATTCATTTCTAATAATCATTTATAATTTATTAATTTTTTAACTCTATTTGTGTGTGCAACTACTAATCTATAATATTCCAAATTTTTTATTAACATGTTGCTATATAAATCATAAATCTAAAAAATAAAAATGATATTTAATTTCACCTGAATTTAACAATGGATTTTTACAATTATAATCAAATTTTATAATACGATCTTTTTAACAACTTTTTTTTATTGGTTTTTTTAGTTAAAGTAAATCATTAAAATTAATTCTCTATTATATATATAAACATCCCTATTGTGCCGTGACTCCAACGTGCTGGTTTTTTAAATTTTTTTTCATATAATATTTTAAGTTAATTATTTACTTGAGTTGTTGCAAATGCAAGAGTAACTCCAAAATAAAAATTTGCATTTGCTGATCTTGAATATATCCATAAGTGCCATACAGTAGGTGCAAATACTGTGCATCCAACAAAGAAACATGAAACAATGAAAGCCTGCTGCATAACTGAAAATTATTAACACACTTCTATTTTACCAGTTTCTTTATATTATTGTTAGTGTTTATTAATATGAGTATATTCTTTTCTCACAGTAAAATAGATGCCTATGAATTGGCAATAGACTTAAATAAAACCCAACATCTCCAATGCTTGGATAAGATTTGAATACAGCGGTTAATGCTAGTAAACTAGTTGCCAACAGAAGTGGATCATGACGAAGACGAATACTTAACGGAATAACATACAAAATAGATGCATTTAATTGAAATGCACACACAAATAGTGCCCGAAAATGTTCAAACATTTCAGTAAAAAAATACCAGAATAATCCAATGTTTGGTTTTAGATCTCTGACATTTAATCTACAAAATATTATACATAATTTTTAATTGTTTATAATTGCATAGATTGAATTTTTAAAACTTACATAAAACCATAAACTGAATCTAGGAACATCCATTCACCCATTATAATAAAACATACGTATAATAAAGCACAACTTATTAATAAGCATACCAGAAATGTTATAATATAAGAACCAGTCTTTTTCTTATTTTCAGTTGGAGCACAACTTATCATTAAAGGTGCTACTAAACCGAAAGTATAAAATGTAGACAAAGATGCTAATACTAAACTAACACTTCCCAATAGACGTTGTCCTAAAATAAAAAGTAGTGCTTATATTTTTTTATAATAAAATGGTTCTTGATAAATAATTTTTATGCTTTGCCTCAAGACTAATGTTATAATTGTCATAAACATTAACATTAAATTAATTAAATTTACTTGATTTAATTTATTTTGAAATTCTTTTTAATAAATATATAGATACTCATTTTAATATCTACCACAGTTATAATGTTTACTAATTACAAACAATAAGTAAAATATGTTTTTAATTTAAAAACAATAAATTATTACTAATAAATGCATATGTTACATACGTTTCACCATCGCATACAGAAAAATTGCCAGAAATAAATTATTGAAGACAGTAGTTGTTTTGGAAACACAACTTAATACTGTATAAGGATTCAGTAAATAGACTGAACAAACATAAACTGGATTTATTTCAGCAAAATAATCAGGTATTAATAATGATGAAAATTGTTTCATATAAGTATGCTTGATTTCTACTTGATTTTTAAGCTACCAAGTAACATAAAAAAAATTACTATTATTTATTACTTTTATAATACTATTAGTTACTCACCAGATTTTTAGTAAAAATCTTTGATGTTAAATATAAAATAAAAGCTGTTAAAAGATCACAGACAATAAATATTAATGATATATAAAACTGTGACAGTTTTGAAGTTAAAAAACTAAAGAAAATAAGAGCCAGTGGTGTTTCATGAAACAAGTCTCCATCATATGGATTGATATTTTGATTATACAATGAAACTCCTTCAATTACTAAAGTTTGAAAGACAAAATATAAATAAATTTGGTTATTACATAACTAAAAAAATATTTTTTACAATTTTACAAACCTTTTTTCCATGAATTTAAAGGTGTTGAAATTTCAACTCTGTCTGCTATTAATGTACTGAAGTCATTGAGGCTTAAGTATATCCTAATAAGGATACCAATTATATATACAAAAAATAGTAGTTTTCCCATAAATTCTTCTGTCTACCAAATTTTTAATTTAATGCTATAAAACCATAGTAAAATTTTAACAACTTTCTGAAATATGAAATCCCAAATAATTTCTTTTTATTTAAATAACTTTATTAATAACATAAAAAATTAGAATTGACAGAAAAAATACAATAAATTTAATAATGACGTACTGGATAAATTAAACGAATATTAACTCTTACATATAGTCGGTATTTTTTATCGGTTGATAATATAATTGATAAGGTAATATATGTTTGTTACATTCATGGAATAAAATATATCTTTGACCATAAAGCAAATAAGGTGTATCTATTAATCAAAATGTAATTAACTAGATTTTTTTGGGGCATATAAATATTTTATATCAAATATCCTCGAGGCAACGAAATCTTAAAAATTGTAATCACTGTAGTCAGTAATAGTATAAAACATTGGAAGCTGTAATGAAAACAGTAGCTGATTACATTGTTGATCCTAATAATCAAATTACTGATAAAGATAAACAAGTAAACCAGTGTATGGGCATGCTGGTCGTCATATGATGTTAAGGAAACTAATAGGACATGATCAAGTATTAGCAAATAGTGAGAAATGTAAGCTGTTGCTATTCTTAAATTGGAATAGTTTATTACTTAGATAATTATAGTGATATTCATTATTTTTTCAAGAGATCAAAAAAAATTTTTTTTTACATAAAAATATAAAAAGAGATTATTAAATGAATGAATCGCCACGGACATGGCCTTACAAACAACATATGAAATATAATGTATGATAAATTCAAATAGTATTGAGCCTAAATCATACGAAAAAATGTAATCCTAAAACTGTTAAAGATTATATTTTAAATTTTAATTTAATATCTCGTGAATAAATTCAACGAGGTACTAATTAGTAATCAAGAAATTAATTCAGTGGTGTTTTGAAGGGTAACGTCATATACTCGATTCCACTCGATCCTCTAAAATGACGTATTTTTTGTAAAAATAAAAAATACATGGGTATATCATTTATTCAAACTCATACCTTTATACAAAAAAAAGGTAGCACAGTGGGGTCGCGACACAATATGAACGTGGCATAGATGTGCTGTGTCCTACATATGATGAGACACGGAACGTATTGGAGTGGATATCGTTGTAATATGATATAAAAGTACAGAGTTGTAACAATCCCTTATACCTCGTAAGTGTATCAACTTTATTTTTTCAAATGGCAATTCACACAATTAACAAACTTATAGGTTAGATAATAACATTATTAATAAAATGACTAATCGATAACAACTTTTGGACTAGTATTTCAGAAATTATAGCATTTTAAAAAATGAACTGGGGCGAGTCGCAGGTATATATTAGGGTGGCACTTATTTTATTAACTTTCATTGATCGATCTCCATACCCGCCAATTTTGTTTTCTATTATATGAAAGCTATTTGTGTAAAATTTGGTTTTGATAACTTACCCCCTTCAGGTCCAAATCGGGGTTGAAAATTCGCTCAAAAATTTTTCAGTTTTAAACTTTTCGAAAAATGTAATTATCAGCACAATTTTTTTTCTCTAAATACATTATAAGTACATCTTTCATTTGACATACTTTTTATTAAAATTGGACAATTTCCCCATGTATAGGGAGCGTTCAAAACTTGAAATATTGTATAAAAAATAGAACTTTTTCAATTTAACTTTTAAAAGTGTTCCGGAAATACTGCGTCCTTTAAACATATATCAAATTAAAGCTTATTTTATGTACTACAAAATGAAAAAAAAAATTTGTCCCGACGATCTATCTTCTATGCGCAAATGGCTACCGTATTCAAAAATATGCTATTTTTCAATTAAAATTCTAGGTTTTGTATTTTATTTTATTTTAAAATATCTTATTAGGAGAATATATTGACTTTCATGAATATTATATAATTTAATTGACATAGAATAAAGGTCATAAGACATAAGAAATTAAACTTATTAAATTTTTTTTACTTTTTTATTTTCATATTAAATTTAATAATTATAATTAATATTTATTCATATATTATATTTTAAAATCAAAGAAATAAGAGTTGATGTTGCTTTTGGAATAATCTACCAATTTCTCTAAATGAAACACTATCTACAGATTAGCATCGAAGCGTTTCTTATGATAGTGATTTTAATCACTGTTAAATATCATCTGTACATGTCCCATCTATGCCTTATCTACACTATGCCTCGACCCCACTGTGCTACCGTTTTTTTTTCTTAAAACTGCTATAACTTTTTCAAAAATGAACAAATCAATAAAATTTTTTTTCTATAGATGCATGATGTCTTTACCTATCATTTGGTTTATTATTTTTATAAGTTTAACCCTTTACCTGCCCACAGAGGGGATTTAAAATGACAACTTTTTAAAAAAAAAATTAACTTTTTCAACTTAACTTTTGAAAGTGTTCCGGAAGGTCTGACACTTTTATATATATCTTAAATTAAAGCTAATGTAATGTACTTTATTATGGAATAAAAAAATTACGGACTTTATTTTATTTTCATGTGAAAATTCTCGATTTTATTTTTTACATTTTTAACTTTATAATGCTATAACTTATTGAAAAGTGTATGGATCAACACAATTTTTTTATGAGAAATAGTATTTTTTAATNATATCAACACAATTTTTTTATGAGAAATACTATTTTTTAATAATCCCTTTTTGATTCGACATACTTTATCTTAATTAGGATATTAATAATGAACTAGCAGATCATGTAGCTTTTGGAATAATCCACCAATTTTTTAAAATTAAACACTATCTAAAGATTTGCATCGAAGCGTTTTTTTTTTTATAGTGATTTTAATCACTGTCAGATATCATTATACTTGATCCAACTATGCAACGTCACCACTGTGCCACGACCCCCTTGTGTTGGGTTTTTTTTTCTTTATGTATAAAATCTTAAGTTAAGTTGAAAAAAAATGTTTTTTTGTAAATGATTAATGAAATTAATGAATTACATTAATTAACTTTAATTAAATATAATTATGATACACAATTCTACTCACAAAATGCAAACTCTGACGGTTGACATTTCACATCAAATTTTTTTTTTCTTGTTCTACATCTAGGATGTTTGGTATTCTTCAGGGCTGACTGACTACCTGACCAGTTGAAATGACGCTTCTGGATTGACTTACTGACCTTGCTGATCTTGTTGTTACTATCTGGATCCCGTTTATACGTTATACGTTATGTCATCTTGACACCCACAAAAATATCTTGAAAATTATTCGTGTTGTGTATAGTTATTAAATTATTTGTTTTTTTTTTCAAAACAATTTTATGTGTGTTACTGAGTCACCTTTTTTTTCGTTATTTTTTAGTATACAGGGTGTTCAGTAAGTCAGGAAACGGGTTTCTATTGTTCTCATTGTTTGTAACAATGAGAACAATAGAAACCCGTTTCCTGACTTACTGAACAATCTGTATAATTGATATTCAATAATGTTGATATTATTAAACAACACACTGAGTACAGTAATATTATTTAAGATAACAGTTTAATGTATTTTTACTGATGTTAGCAAAGTACAAGGTCAAAAGGGACACATTCCTTTCTCGATTATGTTGTTTTATTCAATACAGCCTATTTTATACATGTTCACAATTTAGTCGTAGTTTAACTGTCTATCGAGTAAAGTGACAATTGGGCAAAATAGAAATTTCAAATGGCGGTGATATTAAAACCATTTGTGTTGTGAAGTTATGAATATTCAATTCAAATAATAGAACGTCATACAGAAACAGACACAAAGGCACAATTGCGTTTAGAACAAGTGCAGCAAAAATGGTTGATGACGGATGCTGAGGCTCAACGTTTTATAATTATGTCAGTAGATGAGCAGTCATTAGATTACATTTGATCAATCAGCAGATCAGACTTAAAAAGAATTAAAAATGAGACTTAGAGATAGACAAAATATAGAAAAACCAATAAGGTATAGAACAGAAATGTTGTTATTAAAAAAGAACGAAACCTGGAAATTAGGAAATATAACAAGAAATAAAAATGTACTTTATGAATAATATATTTATGTAATAAAAGTATTGAATACATTAAGAATATTAAGTTTTAATGGAAATTTTTATAAAGTTTAGGTAAAAAAAAATAATAATAATATCTTCTAGTAGAAAAAAATATCATTTAAATTTATTTTAACTTAAAAATAATAAAATTATAATTTAAACAAAATTTTCCACTAAAAGAAGAATGTCACACATACCATGCGTAGATATGAAATATGATATTACATTCAAAAACTAAATGTCAAACTCTTTTGATATAGGACAGTAGTCTACATTGATTATAATAATTTAATATTAAAAAGTATGTCAGTATGTGTTTAGCGTTGATAATGGTAACATTGTTTCCGAAATACGTTTCCGTGACTTTTCAGTCATTTTTTGTAGCTTTTGAGTTTAATATATTTTAGCTTTTAAATTAATAATATTTTTAATATAGTTTGAATTTTACTTGTAAATAATTAACGAAAGTCTAAGTACTTTAAACAAAATTTTAAGATGAAGAAAAAAAAATGTTTTTAAAAATAATTTTTTTAATCCTCAAACTATTTAATTAAATTTACGAAGGATTTATTTGAAATTTCAAAAAATAAAAGTGTTTATTAAATTAAACGAAGAAATAAAATTGAGTGATTAAAAAATAGATAATGTCCGTAATATCAGCTTATAACCGTCGTTACTACTGTAAAAAATACACAGTTTAAACACTATTCGAATAGTTTATTTTAATTTTTAATTATGTGACTGAAAATTAGAAAAAAAAATATATCTTTAACAAATCAATTTTTTTTTTTTGTAACAATCAGTTTAAATTCTTCCACAATAAACCGTTACTTTATAAAGAAGACTATTTTTATCAAGAATCATAATTATAAGATGAAACAATTGTATATGTAAAATTTCAATCAAGTCCTGATATATGTGAATATTTCAAACATTACTGGTAAATTAAGTCAATCACAATACATTTTATTTATTTTAATTATAAGGTAACTTAGAGAATAAACATTTAAAAAATATTATACTTAAGTTCTGAAAATTTTCTATGTTATAAATACTCAAATTGTTTATTTATGATTGAACAAACTGTTTAACTGAAATTAATTTTACTTACAGTCGGTAAGCATACTGGTAGATATTTCTTCGATATTTATGATTTTTTAACGATTAATATTATACGATGGTAATATTGTACCATCGAGTTATTAGTAATTCAAAAGAAATGAAAAACAGTATATATTAATTACAATTATAAAAATAGTTTTATTAATCTTCAAATTCAATTATATAAAACCCAGCACAGGGGGGTCGCGGCACAGTGGTGACGTGGCATAGTTGGATCAAGTATAATGATATCTGACAGGGATTAAAATCACTATAAAAAAAAAACGCTTCGATGCAAATCTTTAGATAGTGTTTAATTTTAAAAAATTGGTGGATTATTCCAAAAGCTTCATAAACTGNGGTGGATTATTCCAAAAGCTACATGATCTGCTATTTTCTTATTAATATCCAGAATGAAAAAGGGATTATTAAAAAACATTATTTCTCATAAAAAAATTGTGTTGATCCATACACTTTTCAATAAGTTATAGCATTATAAAGTTAAAAATTTTTTTTTCGCATAATAAAGTAGATTACATTAGCTTTAATTTAATATATATAGAAAAGTGTCAGACTTTCCGGAACACTTACAAAATTTAAGTTGAAGAAGTCAATTTTTTGTGAAAAAGTTGTCATTTTAAATCCCCTCCTGTGGGCAGGTAAAAAGTCAGATTTATAAAAAAAATATACCAAATGATAGGTAAAGNTGCAAATCTTTAGATAGTGTTTAATTTTAAAAAATGGTGGATTATTCCAAAAGCTACATGATCTGCTATTTTCTTATTAATATCCAGAATGAAAAAGGGATTATTAAAAAACATTATTTCTCATAAAAAAATTGTGTTGATCCATACATTTTTCATAAAAAACTTAATTATTTGAGATACTACTACAAACCTTGATAATACAATATATATATAGTGTTGCTTTAGCTTCGATGCGAAGCTGNAATAAGTTTTTTATGAAAAATGTATGGATCAATACAATTTTTTAAAACTTAATTATTTGAGATACTACTACAAACCTTGATAATACAATATATATATAGTGTTGCTTTAGCTTCGATGCGAAGCTGAGAAGGTATTGGTTTTACTAAGATGTGTTTTTTTTTTGTCTGTTACCACTTTTNAATTATATTGATCCATACATCTTTAAAAAGGTATAGCATTACAAAGTTAAAAATATAAAAAAGAATTTGTTTACAAAAATCATATTTTTTTATTAAGTTTAATGCCTGTTTTCACCATAAAGATAAAATAAAGTCCGAAATTTTTTTTTACCATTATAAAGTATATTTAATTAGCTTTAATTTAAGATATATATAAAAGTATCAGACTTTCCGAAACACTTTCAAAATATAAGTTGAAAAAGTTCTACTTTCTACATGCATTTTTTAGATTTGAACCCCCCTCGTATATAGGGAAATGGTCGGATTTAAAAANTGAGAAGGTATTGGTTTTACTAAGATGTGTTTTTTTTTTGTCTGTTACCACTTTTTCTCAGCTCTCAACGAACCAATTTCTTTCAATGATACGTTAAAAGATCACAAATTGTATCTAGTCGAAGACATTACCCTCAAAAATTGAAAAAAATGCCCTCGTTCCCCGTAAATGGGGGAAACCTCCAAAAAAATTACAAATTTAAAAATCGCTAATTTTCGAAATTTTTTCAATTTTTTTTACTTAAAAGTGCCATAACTTTTTCAAAAATGAACATATCAATATAATTCTTTTTTATATAGATGTGTAATATCATTACCTTTCGTTTGGTATATTTTTTTCATAAATTTAACCCTTAACCTGCCCACAAGGGGGGATTTAAAATGACAACTTTTTCAAAAAAAATTAACTTTTTCAACTTAACTTTTGAAAATGTTCCGGAAGGTCTGACACTTTTATATATATCTTAAATTAAAGCTAATGTAATATACTTTATTATGCAAAAAAAAAATTTCGGACTTTATTTTATCTTCACGGTGAAAATGGCTACCGAATGCTATTTTTGTGTGAAAATTTTCGATTTTGTATTTTACATTTTTAACTTTATTATGCTATAACTTTTTGAAAAATGTATGGATCAGTACAATTTTTTCATGAGGAGTAGTATTTATATACATCTTTCATTTGACATACTGTTTTTTTAAATCCGACCATTTCCCTATATACGAGGGGGGTTCAAATCTAAAAAATGCATGTAGAAAGTAGAACTTTTTCAACTTAAATTTTGAAAGTGTTTCGGAAAGTCTGATACTTTTATATATATCTTAAATTAAAGCTAATGTAATATACTTTATTATGCAAAAAAAAAATTTCGGACTTTATTTTATCTTCATGGTGAAAATGGCTACCGAATGCTATTTTTGTGTGAAAATTTTCGATTTTGTATTTTACATTTTTAACTTTATTATGCTATAACTTTTTGAAAAATGTATGGATCAGTACAATTTTTTCATGAGGAGTAGTATTTATATATATCTTTCATTTGACATACTGTTTTTTTTAAATCCGACCATTTCCCTATATACGAGGGGGGTTCAAATCTAAAATATGCATGTAGAAAGTAGAACTTTTTCAACTTAAATTTTGAAAGTGTTTCGGAAAGTCTGATACTTTTATATATATCTTAAATTAAAGCTAATGTAATATACTTTATTATGCAAAAAAAAAATTTCGGACTTTATTTTATCTTAAGGTTGAAAATGGCTACCGAATGCTATTATTGTGTGAAAATTCTCGATTTTATTTTTTACATTATAACTTTATAATGCTATGACATATTGAAAAGTGTATTATTTTTTTATGAGAAATAATATTTTTTAATAATCCCTTTTTCATTCTACATACTTTATCTTAATTAGGATATTAATAATGAACTAGCAGATCATGTAGCTTTTGGAATAGTCCACCAATTTTTTAAAATTAAACAGTATCTAAAGATTTGCATCGAAGTGTTTTTTTTTATAGTGATTTTAATCACTGTCAGATATCATTATACTTAATCCAACTATGCCACGTCACCACTGTGCCGCGACTCCCCTGTGCTGGGTTTTTTAATTTAAGTTTACCGTACAGCCTGTCCAGCCATTATGCGCGTCCCAAAGCTACGAAAGGGGAACGCCATGTAGATATGCAGGATAGAAATAAGCTGTCACTAATTTATTGGTTCGGACGAATAAACGGTCACGGACAAGGGCAATCTTGGCTCGGTCAACCACCGAAATCTTGGAAGACCTGGACTATGAACCCACGTTGTAGACAATGAAACACTTAACTAAGTGATTTTTGATACAGCGCGGTGATTGAACAAAAAACAATAGATATATATAGAATATAAAGGACACAATTTAAAAAAAACCTTACAGGAGGTACAAAATGTAGTTGAAATATTTATCATGTAAAGTAGTTCTAAAAGTTTAAAATTCCATGATGCTCTCCTATTGGGAATGGTCGGACTTCATAGGCCCAGATCGTTTGGCCAAACTACTTACCGGACATTGTATACAGAACAGGTTGGATTTTTGAATGACACATTGAATAAACTGCACGTAGATGGTTCAATGAAGAATCATAAAACTACTCTGACTACTTAAACTAAAAATTTTTATTCTCTTTAAATACTTTTAAAAAGAAAATGAACTTTATTATTAGTCATACTGATAGAGATAGTTAATAGTTATAATGTTAAGATAAGCAATAACTTTGTTAGTTGCTCTATAATAGATATATGATTATAATAATGATAGGAATAATAGTACAAATAGATTTAGTTATAATAGTAGAAAAAGATAAATACAACAATTTTACCCTTCAAATAGTATTACAAACAAACTATAACCAGACAACAACAAACAAACAAATTAATTGCTCAATAAAGAATAAGATGTCAGACCACCTCAAAATCATTACACGCCGATCAACACTAATGACTTGAGAAAAGATAACTTCGAAGGAAATGATAATAAAATATTTAATACATTAATTATCGAAAATAAAAATACAACATTCTACCAAAAACTCCAAGCAACTTGTACAACGACTGAATAAAATGTCGATTCGACCTTTCAATCAAAGTCATAGAAGGTCAAAGAAATACATTTTAAAGTAAAAATAATGTTAATACTGAAAGATGAGTCAAATCAACTTAATTTTTTTTTTCTACACACGTTCTCATAATCCCCCAAAAAAATACACGAAATCAGTCCCTCCAAAAAACTCTCTAAAAAAATACTGGGATAAATGGTACACATTATTCACAAAATATGATTGAGGCGTTAAACTGGAGAGAGATTCTTCTCGTTTTGTCTAGAAAAATTGAGTATCCAAATCGCTCAACGTTGTACGGGAAAAGTTGCGATGGACCCTTTTTGTGGAATTGATGGAAACATTATTCAACTAACCAGGTTCTACACCAAAGGTAAACATGATAAAAATTTTATTTTTGTACCCAATAATAAACACCATCATTTAAGTACGCATATACCATATTTTAATATTAAAGCTTTATTATTAATGTGAGAAAATATTTATTTGACATAAATACCATAAAGTTGTACTTACAACATTTTTAAAACATAACGTTGAATAATAACTATGTTAGTAGGTTTCTGATTATATTTCAGTAAACATTTTTCATTGGTTTAATCAGTCTATAGAATGTCTAGTATAATTTTACTAAAATAACAGTTAGTTGAGTATTTTTTATGATTATTGCAACTTTGTTATGAATTACAAAATTGACGTGCATATTGAATTTTAATTTTTCAGTCATAGCGATCGACAAAAATCCGGAAAAAATTAGACTGGCAATGAACAATGCAAAAATATACGGAGTTGAGAAACATATTGAATTTATAGTGGGCGATTTTTTTGAATTGGCATATCATCTTAAAGAGGACGTTGTTGTCATGTCACCCCCTTGGGGCGGACCTAATTATTCAAAAAAGAAGAAATACAATTTAAAATACATATGTCAAGAGTAAGGATATAATGGCTTCAACATTTTTGAATTGCCCCAAAAAGTTGCCCCAAATGTGGTTTTCCATATGTCAAGAAATATTTACCTTTTAGAAGTATGTTCGTTGACACAACATGTTTATTTTTAACGGACTTTTTATTTTTATTTTTTAGTGCCAGTCATTAGCTAAGACTTTCAATCATAATTATCAAGTTGAATAAAATGTTATAAATACCAAATTGGATTCAATTACTGTTTTTTTCTGAAATTTACATTGATATATAATACGACGCCAATTAAATTTTTTTAAGTATTATTATTTTTTAATTGTTTAATTTGTATTTAAATATTCGTTCTCAACTAGATTTAAGTTTTTTGATTCTGTTTTATCATATTTTTATTTTTCTATTATAATGTTATTATTTTTAGTCGTTTGATTTTTTTTTAATTGTATTTAATTTAATTAATGAACTTTGTATAATCCGAATATATCATTTTTTTCCTATTAAATGTGAATATGTCAGCAATGTTCTTCAGTCAAAAAAGTTTATCTATCTTTATGCACTTTAGAATATTATTCGATGCCGATATATATGTCATAAATTAAAAATAATACACTAATATAGTCAGTCATAGTTTTATTGAGAAAAGGGGTTCAAAAAAAAAAATTTCACCTTCTCATCGCAGCTATTTTTAAATATTCTGGAGGAATTAGCCAAGAACTATTAAAATCTAAAATAGTTAAAAAAATGAAGAAATGAAGAAATTTTAATTACAGTTTAAAAATTTTCATATAATCATCTTTTTACAGTTAGGTTTCTAGTAAAAAAATATTACATGACAGGGTGACACAATTTTGATAACTAAATATTCTTTCATCATTACATTTTTATATACTTATGCATTCTTATAATATAAAACTTATTTAAAGGGGGTAAAAGGACGCCATCGCTTAGAGTAACAAAATTAAAGAATCTTATTTTATTGAGATACTTTTTCATAACATCTCGTTTTATTAAAAAAAGGGTAGTTAAGCTACCTCATTTCAGTTTTTTACTGGCTTTACGGACAGTGAATACTTGAAAATAATATTACAGACAATTTTTTAGGATATTAATTGCGTATAGGTAATTTTTTTATACACTCTCATCTAAATTTAAACACTGCATTCATAACTTTCATAGAAGTACTGTAATACTGAAATTATTTTCATCATCGTAACCATGATTACATACATAATAATATATAACACAAAGCAATAGTAAAAAAGAACGATTTGTCAATTACACAAATATTGACTGAAATGCATTGTTTTCATCGATTTATTCCTAATTTAAACTTTATACAAGCAAAAACGAGTTAATTTTTTTATTACGAAAAAAAACTTAACCACTTTATTGATAATAAATAAAAACAAACTTATGACAAGAATAATGAGATAAGAAACATTTGTAGTTGCTTGTATAGACTTAACTTTTAAAGAAAAATTAAATACCAACTGATAATTTCATTACATTTATTATTTCTGAACAAAAAACATCAATTAAAAATAAACAATATATTTTTTTTATTGTATAAAATATATGCAACGTGATAAAATAAGTGCCCTACTTTAAAATAGACATATTTTAAAATAATAGTGATTAACAAACAAATTCATTGTTCTTTTGTTTAAATTTACAACACGCTTCTTGCAGCTTTTAAAAGTGGGTATTTTTGTGCGTCACACATACCTCTAGCATCGTCTAATGACAAATCCATGAGTGCAATGCCACCTAAATTATTCTGTTTAATATAAAGAGCCTTTTGTTTAACAGTTTCTGGTTCTTCGAAGCTTATCCAAATGCCCTTGACGTCGTCTTTAGCTAAACGGAAAGCGTATGTACCGAGACGTTTGTTAGAATCGGGTACACGCCTAAAAATAATGAAAGAGATTAATAAGTTTCTAGCAAAATCTTTTGTTTGAGTTCATTAACTATTAGTTACCTGTAGAGTGTTAAAGACGTTGTAGCGGCAGTATTATCAACTAAGTGAGGACAAATTTCGTAGTATGCCATAAGTCCTTCAGTTTTTGTGTAAGTTCCTTCTTGGCCAGGCCCATCAGCAGTTACTGGAGGTGCACCCGATTTAGTACTATCTTTTTCAATCTTCCACGTACGTCCATAAGTTGCTATACCTAATACTAATTTTGATTTGTCTACCTTCAAAGCAAGAGCTTTATTTACTTGATATTCAACGTTTTGCCAATTTAAACGATCGGCATATACAAATTGCATGGGAGAAGTATAATCAGCTAGTTTAGGTACTCTGTCAGGGGTACGAAAATCGTATACCATCAAGTTAAAGTGATCAACATACTTTTGAAGTCCAGGAAAATCGAAATATACTGTAAAAATAATCATATTAAGAATATTATGTCAAAAGTTTCATTGGAAACAGTTGCAAGCTAAAACTATGATTTCCTGAGTCATATAAGTGCACGAGAAATCCAAATTACAAATCCTCTACAAAAGCACATAGTTATATGATTATCTTTACTCACGTTTTTCTACAAGTCTACTTCTAAATAAAGCCTTACTCCAAATTTCTAAAATTTCATAGCGTACTTGATAAAATGATGTATTGATGTGAATATCTTTAAATTTCTTTATAAATACATTAATAAATCTATAAATACTACAAATATTGTTTTTTAATTAAAAAATTATTTAACCATCAAAACCCTCTGATATCTGATTTATCCGTCCTCTCTATCCCCGGTGACCCCAGAAGGCGTCTAAAGCGAACGTGGTGCCGCGACCTATTGATTGATTAATCCACAATTTCACACGTCATGAAATAAAACCACTATTTGGCCTCTTAAATAAAGCCAACTGTCTCTATATATTATTTTTTTATATTTGCTTAGCATTAACATCACTTGTGCTTATTGTAATTAAATTTATTACATTGTACATTTTCAAATAAAAGAAAAAATAATGATGTAACCTTTTTGAAGTACAAAAGCATTATCAAAATTGCTATTATTTTAAGATTTTATGTAATGTCAAATTGATATTGGTTATAATAGTAATACATAGAAATAAAAGCGATTGACTAATGATGCATCATCAAATTTTTTTAAGTTGTAAGTTAAGAATCACTTATTCAATGATGTTAATTTTTGTATTATAATTATGCTGTAATAATATTTTTTGGTAGTGGCTTATAATAATAATAATAATAATAATCATTCATTATAATTATAACTGTTTATCAAATAAATATAAAAATTATTTAAAATGATAATTTCTGTTGATTTACAGCAAATAAAACTTTTTTTTTAATTAATAAAAATACTTACCAGAAGAATTTACATGAGGAAGAATACTAACAGAAAGATAAGGACAATTGTTGGCATTCAAAACTCCCTTGACTTCACGGACTAATGCTGTGAACTGTTCTTTGTGTTCGACTTCCTTTGAGTCTTTACTTGTAATACCAACTGTTTTAGCAACTTTATGAATGAAAGACCCTGGGTTTATTAATAATATTCGAGTTAATAAGATTGATTTTAATTTAAATTAAATTGTCAACTGTATAAATACTTTGTGGTCAAACTTAAATATTTTATTTTTATTTTAAAAAATTGTTAAATTTGTAACTTTCTTATCTATCTTTTATGGCATTAATGAAAATTATTAAAAAAAAAAACACAAATTAACGCAATTAAAATATGTTATTTAGGGCTATATTAAAGATGAATTTATAAAAATATTGTCTTTGAATATAAATTTTGACTACTCAAATTATTATGTCAATATTTAGACAAAATTGTTCTATAAATTCCTACAGCTCTTAATCCAATCTTAGCGTACCTAGAGTTTTATTGAAGTATTTTAGATAAAAAAAACAATATTGTTTATAATACCCCAAGTATGTTTTTCCTTTTTCTCATTAACTACTGGGAATTGCCAGGCTAAATCAACACCATCAAATCCATTCTGTTTTGCCATTTCTGCGATACTAGAAGCAAAGTTGGTCCTTGACTTAGGCTTTTCCAACTGTAAATAATCGGTGTTCCGATAAAATCGTTTTTTTTTTGTTTTATGTTATACAAGTTATCCATATTAAATACTTACTGCTTCAAGGTATTTATCAGGATCTTCATTATCCATCATTCCACCGACAGAAAGTAATATGTATAAATTAGGATATGCCTTCTTCAGTGCTGTAACCGCCTTGAAATTACCTTTTCCTCCTTTAACATCCTTGCTTTCTGGTAAATCCAGTTTAGGATCTAATGATTTAACCTTAAATTTATCTGCATCGATACCAACAAAACCGTAAACTAAATGTGTACAAAAAGCAAGTGCTGGTTTGAGTTCTTCAGCACTCACTTTAATGACATCTAGAAAATAAAGTTTTATATGAAATATTTAAAATTTAATTAATTATATTTGTTAAATAGCACTGATAAATAATATAGTCCATTATAGTTCCAGTATAAATACTTTCTAATTAAATTTGAATTCATTATTCTCCTACCAATTATTATTTTTAACGTAGCTGTATAAATATTTCAAAAATACAATTCCTCTAAATATTTCACTGACTTCACCTTATCAACTCTACAATAAAAATTTGTTAACCAAAAAATTATTATTCAATACAAAAGAGTAAAAAGTTTTTTTAAATGAAAGTTGATACAGATTTCTTCTTATTTATCAAAAAATTAAAGTTGCGCCAAACCTGATAGTGTTATTTTATACATTATGGTTTTAACATATTTTTAAAATTTTAGGATAAAATTTAAGTTATTTAGTATAAAAAAACCCAGCACAGGGGAGTCGCGGCACAGTGGTGACGTGGCATAATTGGATCAAATATAATGATATCTGACAGTGATTAAAATCACTATCAAAATAAAACGCTTCGATGCAAATCTTTAGATACTGTTTAATTTTAAAAAATTGGTGTATTATTCCAAAAGCTACATGATCTGCTAGTTCCTTATTAATATCCTGATTAAGATAAAGTATGTCGAATGAAAAAGGGAATATTAAAAAATATTGTTTCTCAAAAAAAAATTATGTTGATCCATACACTTTTCAATTAGTTATAGCATTATAATGTTAAAAATGTAAAATACAAAATCGAAAATTTTCACACACAAAAAGTATTCGGTAGCCGTTTTCACCATGAAGACAAGTCCAGAGGTCAAATTTTTTTTTTTTGCATAATAAAGTAAATTACATTAGCTTTAATTTAAGATATATATAAAAGTGTCAGACCTTCCTGAACATTTTCAAAATTTAAGTTGAAAAAGTTAATTTTTCGTGAAAAAGTTTTCATTTTAAATCCCCCCTTGTGGGCAGATTAAGGGTTAAATTTATAAAAAATATATACCAAATGAAAGGTAATGATATTATGCATCTATATAAAAAATAATTATATTGATATTGTCATTTTTGAAAAAGTTATGACACTTTTAAGTAAAAAAAATTGAAAAAATTTCGAAAATTAGCGATTTTTAAATTTGTCATTTTTTTGGAGGTTTCCCCCATTTACGGGAAACGAGGGATTTTTTTTCAATTTTTGAGGGTAATGTCTTCGACTAAATACAATTTGTCATCTTTTGACGTATCATTGAAAGAAATCGGTTCGGTGAGAGCTGAGAAAAAGTGGTAACAGACACAAAAAAAAATAAATAAACACCTCAGCTTCGCATCGAAGGTAAAATGTAATTTTATAAATTTTCAGTGTTTTTGGAAAACGTATTTATAATACAATTACTAATATAAATTTTAATGTCTGAAAATATGTATGTTTTTTGTGACAAGTTAATTGTGTGTTAATCGGAGAAGAAAAACTTTTATTATTATTGTTAAAAAGCTAATTTTATCAAATTTTGGGATACGTACTGCTGTATTATGAAGATATGTTAACACACAATTTAGAATTAAAAACTTAATCTTAAGCTTATTTTAAAACAATAATGTTATCCTAAAAACTAAAATTTAAATTTAAAATAAATTTATTAAAATAATGTATTTTAAATATAAAATTCATAAATATCAATATAATAATTTGATCAATTGTTAAGTTATTTATTTAGCTTTTTGCATGATTGAAAAAATACTTAAAAACGTAATAAATTTATCCATATTCTAATTATATTAATTAATTATTTATTTAATATTTTAAATAAAATCTTTCATATTTAAAATATCTGTTGTATGTAATTATGTGCATTTTATATTACGTAAGTTATTTACATGAAAACTTACGAAAAACCTTTGTATCGTGTAAGAAAAGCATGAACGTGATTCAGGTCAAAATAATGACTTTAGAACACTTTTGCTCAATAAATTATAAATAGCTTGTAAAAAATAACAAATTAAAATTTTCGTTTTTTTTTTCAATGTTTTGATAATTAATTTTATTTTTAAATAACTAATTGTATTATAAGTTATATCAGTGACCTAATAGAATTAAAACACTTTTTTATCATTCTACAATATTTTTTTCGCTATGAATTTTAGTATACTAAATATGAAAGAAATTATAACTGATTCTAAACGCAAATATAAAATTTTTTAAAAAATTATATTTCTACTAAGAAAAAATTACTAATAATCAATAATTGCAAACAAGCAACATGCTAAGTAGTCGTATAATTTTATAGTATGACAAAATATTTTTCTAATATATAATAAAATAACTAGAGAAAAATTCGAATTGGCGTGTGATTAAGAAATTATGTTATTTATAAATATATTTTTGTAAATATAAACAAAATACATAATATTAAAAGATTCTAATTAATTTATATGTGTTATTTTTTACAAATAATAATTCATAAAGAATTTGGTTATAAAATATTTATTTTATCTTATCATTTTTATTATATCCGAAAGAATTATAGTACAATTCAATAAAAAAAGTGAGAAATTTGAAATTTATTAAAAAATTAACGTTAGTACAATTTTTAACGAGTGTCGGAAATATCAAAAGTTACACATTATTAGAAGTAAACACTGTCCTAATATAAATAAAAATTGTTACCTTTCCTCCAAAAAGATTTGCCGTCATAATAGCATACAGTTTTATAAGCTTGTGACACTTCTATAAGTACCAAAAGACCAAATAGTGCAACTGCACCAACAAATTTTGCGCACAACATTATGAGGCTGTGACCAAACTACTTGTGAAGACAAATTTTATTGCTGGTCAAAGGATTGAATAAATGATTAAGTATTAACTTTGTTATAGCCGTCAGCTTATTTCATAGTATTCACTCAATTCTTATAATCATAGTCCAAGGTTAAAGTTTAACATGATTTACATCATACAACTGATGTTTCTACACTTACAAAGCCAACCAGCTTAATTTATTTATTTGTTGGTAAAATATAAATTGGCCTTAAATCAATGTTTTTAGCGAGGCTACGAAGTATATAAACAAAAAGTTTTCAGATTATTTGTATTTATAGACGATGTAAGATTAAAATTTTTTCTTGCTTATAAATTTAAATTTCTACCAGAGCTATTTGAGAAACACTGGATGTCAAATGTATTTACAATATCACAAACTTGATTTGTTAAAAATATTGAACTATTTTGTTTTGTATATATATAGTGTATAAGTAACACATGAAGGATAACTTCTTTTTATATATTATATTTAGAAATATTACATTTTTAATTAAATTGTAAACAGTTGTCAAATACGTACAATTCATACTAACACATTATTTTAAATAATAGTTAAAATAACATTTTAATCTTCTTAACGGAAAACAGCATAAATAATTTACGGTATACTAATTGTATAGAGTGAGATAAATATAAAAAAAATTTTCCTGAAAAATTAATTTATCATAATATTTTTATTTTTGTATTAAATATAAAACATTAGAGCTAAAAATATATAACTATAATAGTATATTTTCTTAATACGAATCAAAATATTTTTTGAAAAAAAAAGTCCAATGAATTTACTAAACAGATTGAATAAAAAATTTATATTTTTTATGTTTGTTAGTTTAACTAATTAGCAAAACTTAATAATATTGATAAAACTATTTATCATGGTTCGTGGAAAGGTTATACTATTAGAATTTCTAGTTAACTACTAAAGATCATAATAATAAAAATGTGTTAATTTACCAATAATTATGTATACATTCATACGTTGAAGGTTTATAATGTATCATAGTCTTCATAACATAACTAAACGACTTAATTTTTTTACATTTTTTAGGAAGAAGAAAAAACATTTCATTTCTATGTAAATGACAAATGATTAGGATTATTGATGGAAGATATTGAATAGTAACAATCAATAGTTATTATTCAAACTATTAATAAGTATACTATATTAATAAGTCATTGGCTGGTATTCTATATAAGAAGAATTAATCACTTATGGATAATATTACTTAAAATTAAAAATAAATGGCTTAGATAATAATTTAATATAGAAAATATTAACTTCAGTGAATATTTTAGTACTACTTTATTTAGTAATATTTAGTACGTATTTTTGGAAAAGTGTTACAATCATCAGCGTTTAACACAAACGAGACAAAAATTCACGCCTTTCATTCAATTTAAGCTCGTGCCTGTAGACACTTAAAATTTGCCATTTAAATAATATGGAGAGTTTAATTTTTTTTCAAAATTGTCCTGAAGACTGGGGAAAAAATGCAAAAACATAAAATTTGTCTCAATTGACGCAGAATTTTATAAAATTTACATATAGTGCGCAAAATTTTATTCAAACAGTAATTTGCGCATACGTGAAGCTAAAATTCATCAGAATGTTAATAATTCTACGAATGAAATTTTTAGTATTCAGCTATAGTTTTTTTTTATTTATAAATCAAAAACCGAGGAAGAATCGCCTCTGTAAGCATTACTTTTACCCGACCTCCATCATTTATTGAAAACAAACAAAACATCAATGCATACATAACAGTACATTAATTTAACAGTGTTTGGGGAATAGAGGCCCCCAATTTTAGCCGTTTGGCTTACAATAGGTCTTAGGCTAATTTTCAAATCTTTGACACGGGATATGTGACAGTTGGCGCATATAACTGTGCAATCCTTTGCTAGATGCCCCATTTCTTGGCAATGGTAGCATCTGCTGGTGTTCATTCACGTTTTGACCAGTTTTACCCTGCAGATTCCCCATCCGATATTGATATATCTTTATTTTGGTCAACTTGTACGCTGCACTCGCGGGTACGAACTGACCGCACTCGTCGCTCTGTGCCTATGAGGAAAACTTTTACCACTATAAGGTCAGAGTGTAGACCCTTGAGCGTGAGTTCCAGTTTCGTCGCATCGACATATTTCTCAATACTCACTAGAACGATTTCAGCCATCACCGTGGGCTGTCTAATTATGGCACTGTCGTCATTTTTCTCTTTGAGAATATCCGAGAGTAGATTCACCTTCTCCTTGCTACTGAATTCTAGGAGTGTCTCATCACTTTTGATCTTTTTATAAACGGTGACCTCGACTCCAATTTCTTGAAGGTTTACTGCTTCTTTTGCACTCCTTATGAGTCCTAAAAGTGAACCACCCTCCCGGAATGACCCGATTACTACCACTTACTCCCTAGGAGGCCACCGTGAAAGCAAGGGCTTCTTTTTAAGCTTCTAAGTGGGGTTAAGCTCTGCCTGTTCAATAAAGCGTTTTCTTTTCGGAACTGTGTTTTTTTTTACTACTGTTGTCTAAGTGGTGGGTTCCGGCAAAGGAGGAAAGTGTGATGCTTCGGTCTAAGTAAATGTAACCATTTGGTTTATCACTAGATTCCTCTTCGCTTTTTCGCCTTAGCCGGCGCCTCTTTTTTGGCTGATCGCTCTTCGTCTATCTACGAACCGACTGCCTTTATGGTTTTATTAACTAAAACACCTCAATATCTAGTGTCCTAGAGCTTCTTTTGCAGAGGTTGTTCGGCTATACGAAGATCGATCATTACTTTGCATGTCTTGGTCATCTCTTGAATGAGCTGATCCAGGTGTAATCCTGGAACACCATTCGATTACCTTCCGCCTGCATCTCTCTACTTAGAAACAACGCATAATTAAGACCAGTGTCAATTTCGATTTTATTATCGTCCTTAACTGCAAAATGTGCCTTCCTCTTTTGAGTTTCACGGGTTATGCTCACAGGTATCACTCAATCCGATAATTATGGGGAGTTCCCAAAACGGATAACCGCCACCTATGAGATTATGCGGGAACTTCTCACAATTTTAACTCTCAGGTTCATCTAAATTGTAGGACTCTGGAAGTAGACGTATTTTTTCTTGTCTCATGCCTCTTTCAATCTGGTACAATTGACTCCGTAGTAATGTGCCTCGATTGAAGTCCGAAGACCCCGGCCAATGGATCTCATCATATGGCTACTCCTATGATAGCTTATCAGCTCCATAGCTACAATTCTGGTTATTCCAATAATTTTCTCGGACACATTTTCGACTCTAGTAGCAAAAATACATCTCATCATGAGATCCCCTCTTTCTTCTTCGTTGTCAACTTCTTTAAATAGATTGTAGACTTCTTTTTTTTCGGGAGAGAATTCGACTCGTTGTTATGAATCTCTAAAACTATTTTAAAAATAGAAAGTTAAATTAAAAAAAATTAAACTTTTTAGCTTTATTTCGCAATTGTATTAACAGAGCTCCATTAATAATTTGTTTATTGAGACAAGCCAAAGGGAATGTGTCAATTGTACGTTTTAAGGTTAAGTAATCCTGGAAGCTAACAGTCGCGGTTTATGGTATCTTATTACTTTTTATTACACTTATAACATCGTCGGGCCCGATCTTCCTCTCGAGAAGAAGATTGAAAGTTGAAAATGATGCTTACTCACTTATGGGAGGCTTCTATTGAGAAAAATCTCCCATAGGGAAGGCATAGCTCCTGCACTTTCCCTTTCACCATTTCTTCACATAGTAGGTTCTAGCGTTCGAATTCCACTTTAGTCAAAGAAATTCCGTTCAAAAATGACCCTTTACTTCTGTCCATTCATCCACCGTTACCTTAGTAATGGTATTTCCACCAGCAGTGACCTCAGTGACCCGATGGTCAACAGAGGATGCCTGATTCACAAATTCTCCAATAGTAACTTGAATGCAAATTGCCTCATCAGTTCAACCGTTTTGGTAACAACACTGTCCTCAGCCGGTATCCGATCTTGCTGAAACAGTAGCTTTAAACTTATGATCTCGAATTTCTATGGTTAATTTTTAATGTAAATTCTAGCCTGCACTTTATCCTTACGGCCAGAGCTATGATGCCTATCGCTTATCTGGTATTCACGGCTACCCTACATATCCAACAAGGTTAACGAGGCACCATGGTCACTATTGTTCACGACCGCTTATTCGACAAATCCTGAAGAGTACCGCTTATTTCGCGGCTAACACATATCTGTAGGACGATCTCTTATCCGCAACTTGGGGGCGCGATCGGTTTCGCAGCCAAGGACCCGGATAAAAAACTTTTTTGAAATTATCGTCCTCTCTTCCAACCAGGATGAAATTTTTTAATTAAGGACTGATAAAATAATTAATTATAATACTTATCAAATTCGAACAATTTTAATTTTAAGTTAATATAGTATAAATTTTATTTTTTGTTTTTATCGCTCTATGATGTACATAAAATAATTTGAAAATATTTTTTCAAAAGAAAAATGTTGCTAAACTAACGTAAAACTCATTTAAGAAAATCGATTTTCTTATTCCAGAGAAAGGAACTTCCAACTTCTAGCATAAAAAAAGAAATGATCAGTTTACATCCTTCTATTTCTCGAACATAACATAATACAGAGGTTGGTGGCACACATTTATATGTTAGGGAATCAAAAGTAATTTGTGGCTCAGGTAGTGTTGGTCAGGACGGGTTGAAGCAGGTATCAAACACCACCAATGAGAAAATTCTCAATGACACCCTGAGGTTTGAACTCGGGACCACATGCGTCAAAATATACGTTGTTTCTACCTACTAGGCCAAGCTGACTCTGGACAGATGGGTAGACTGGACTCACGGTCAGATGACTTATCGTCTCACCCAAGTGATATCCGGCCACGGCTGCTTTAACGAGTACTTACACCGTATTCGCAAAGCAACCGCGCCGGCGTGCGCCCACTGTTTGGATCGCCTAGGAGAGGCAGACAGCGCTCAACACATCCTCTTCTGATGCGAGGCGTGGGTCCTGGAGTGGGACTCTTTGAAGTCCCTACTAGGGTCCACGTTTCAAGTCGGGTCCATGGTGGACCTGATATTGAGGAGCCGGGAGGCGTGGAGGATCGTATTCATAATATTCGTAATAATTCACACCACCACGTATTGAACCTGCTTTTGATTAATTTCGGGCTGATTCACAACGTGGTGGTGTGAATTATTAAGACGGCGTAGGCCGCCCTGAAGTAATGCCTAACGGCAGTTCCAGAACGGCCCACAGTAATGCTGACCACTAAAAAAAAAGGTCAGGCCGACTGCAATACATTTTTTAAGAAAAGAAGAAACTAACTTTAAAAAATTTTTGTCAAATTGCGGTTAATAAGTTATCTATTTCACGGTCCTGTACTACAGTTCAACACTATTTTAATAATCACCAAAGTTTAACTTTAACTATCCAAAATCACTATAGTGGTATTGAGCTTTTTACTAATTTCACAAATTAAAATAAAATCTCTCAATAATTAGTTTCATGATATTAAATATTGAAATATGAGTTTATTTTATTAAATAAATGGATAATATGAACGATTTTACTTGAAATGGAAGTATTTGTAAGCGTAATATTTGTAAACCAAGCGCGTAATTATTAATGGAGGCTATGGTCATTTACAAACTCTAATACAACTTATAATTCTAAAATCTGAAAATGTTGAGGTGAAAATAGAATTTTTTAGGAGAAAACAACAAAAATTATTAAATATTATCTCGTATGCCATCATAAATGCAATTAATAATAAAAATAGTTAAAACGATCAGCACAGTAATATTAAAATGATATGAAAACTTCTATAATTAGTTAGACATTAACCATAATTTTAAAACAAAAATAATTCAATAGCATTAAAAATAAAAAATATTATAAAAAAGGACATAAAATATTTTTAGTACATTAGTAGATAGTGACTAAGTTTATTTTTAAAGTTGTTTGATAGCACTCGGTTTACAAATAATTGTTAGTACTTTATAACGACTGGTTTTATTTAAACGTTAAATATTTGATGCGGGCCCCTATTATACCATGATAGAATAAGGAGGACTACATATCACATATAATCTTAAAAAACATAAATTAAAATAAATTTATTCATCACAAAAGAGACTTACGTTTTACTTGTATTTAAGTTGAGTTAAATTAATTTCAGAAAGATGAAGTCAAGTTGAAAGTGAACTGATATTTTTTTTAATTTTTGTAAAGTTATAAGTAACTTGACCAAAAAAACCCTTAAATAATTTTTTTTCTAATTATACTCTTAATTAATATCGATAATGATAATTTTCTGTCTTCTCCAACAATTTAAGATGCTGTCTGATAATAATTATCAGAGAAATATAAACATTGCCGCAACTAATAACCAAGAGACCACCAGTGTCACATTTCTGGCGAGAATCGTTCACATATGATATTTTATTTTTTATTATTTAAAAAAATTAAAATATAATAACAAGATAGCTTCCACGTAGAAAATGATAAAAACTACAATTATTTGTTCTTCTCTTCATTGTCCCCTTCTTGTAATTGTATGATGGATTTACACTTGATATAAATAGTCAATATATAAATCTTCAATAAAAAAAATAACAACGAACTTAAAACACAGCACACTAGTACCCCCAATATTATATTCAGATAACAATGTCAATATACTACAATGGTTATTCAATAATCATAGATATTCCATAATTCTAAATTTAAACATATTAAATGCTTAGGTGAGCGAGGGGATTATGTATTACTTTTTCTGTGTTAGCACACGCCATTGTTTAGCGCATGATTAGATATAATACAGGTCTAAGATAAAATAAAGTATATTATATTATTCGTGGTTTAAGGTGCTTAACATGATAAGGAATATTTTATTGTTTTAATCCAATGTATTTACTGATCCAACCTACTGAGATATTACAAAATCAGATGGTTTTTAAATTTTTTGATACAATACTAGTATTGTATCAAATTAAAGTTTAAAATAAATATTAGAAAAAAAATCGAGCATCATTAAATACAAATTTTATGTAATTTTTATATTAGTATGCTAAATTAACGTGTTATTCAAGTTACGAACTACATTAAAAGTAACTCACTAATATATATATATTAGGGTGGTCCTTATTTTTCGACTTCATAAATTTAGAGTCATGGGCTCAAAATTTCGTTAGGTTCACTGAAAAAATGAAACTGGTAAAATTTGAGTACAATAAGTCAAAGTCACGTGCCTCAAAGGGGTTGAAGTTCTACAAAAATGGGGTGGATTATCTTTTTTTGAGTGTACGCTCTTTATTTTTGAAGTTTCGCCAAAAACACAAAGAACAATTTTTATAGAACTAAATGTAACAAAAAATAAGGTAATACATTATTTTTTTGTAAAATTAATATTTTTCGTAAAAATAAGAAAAATCAGTTTCACTTAATTTTTTTTAAAAAATGAGTTTTCAGTTATACTTTTCCAGTGTCTTAAACTTTAATTGTACGTAGAAATTATACAGAAGTAATATTAATCACCGTGATATCTTCTATTAAATATTATTTTTTTCATAGAAAAAATAATAATAATAATCTTGTAATTTCTAGTACCAGCTTGGAGAAATCCTGAAGTATACATCCTCAACACACTTCGTCCAGCACTGAAAATTTGTTTAGGTTTTTAATTGTTTAATATAAAACTGAATGCACAGCCGCATTTAAGAATAATGATGCCTGGAGTACTCAATTCTGCCGCACATAATGGCTTATTTATTTTGATATTAATTTTATTTTTAATTTGAATTAAAGAGTCTTAATTTAATGATTTACATTGTTTAATATTTTATTAGCCGTGGTAATCACACTCAGTATCCTTCACTACTATAACTGGTTCTGACTGGAAACATATAGACCAGATAATAACTAATAATAATTACAGTAGATAACTTGTACCAACAATATAGTACCAAAATAAAAATTTTTGAGTCTCATTTATATTTTAAATAGCCTTAAGTATACTATGATTCTAATATATTAAGCATAAGAAAATCATAAGTAAAAACTTTAAACAAACATGAAATAACTCAATGTTTAAATAAATATTGTAGTAAGAGTAATTTTTCAAGTAAATTGTTTTAAATTTACTTATTTTTCCTTTAGATTATAAGTATTAAAATATAAACACAAATGAAAAACATAAAAGTAATTTTTTAATTAAAATTTAAAAATGAACAATGCTTAAAAGTAGTTCATACACTTAAATAACTTTATTAGCCACCTAAATATTTTTTTCTAAAATCCAAGAAAATATATTCTAACATGTTTCCTAATTATTAGGATTAAAACAAAAATTATGTACATCATAGAACTTATAAGTGACCTTTTAAACGTTATTTAGATTCAAATGATATTCTATTTTAACTAATGCTTAATATGTAACTATACATATTTACACTAAAACGAAATACAATAGATAGTGCATATTGGTCATTAACTATAGACTAAATAATTCATTGCAAGTAAAAAAGCAAATAGGACACAATGCATAAATCAAATTAATTTTTGAAGTAAATATAGAAGCATTAAATTAAAAAAAAAAACACTAGGATATAGTTAAAATGTAAATTTTTTGATAAGGTACAAAAAAAAAAAATGTATATGTGTATATATTATACATTTTTGAGATTTGATTCACATTATAAAACATTTGATATCTATTTAGACACACGTACCATGAAATAAAAAAATCGTTGAATGCACCATAATAAATAATGAATTTTTAAATAATTATTTGATACTATTAGTATTATAACCATACTTAATGATTTTATTATACCATAACAATAAAAATAAACAAATAATTTTATGAAACTTTTATCTTATGTCTTTTTGCATAAATAACAGAACATCTTATTGATATTTAATTACAAAAATATACATTTTTTTACCTCAGTCTAATATTTTTTAAATAACCTCATTACCAATGCTCATTTCTAGGACCATAACGAGGCCCTTGATTCCATCTACCAACAGGTCTTGAACGTTGAGAAAAATTTCTAGGCCCTCTAGACCAATTTCCATTTCCTCTGTTCCATTTTGGTCTAAAATCATTTCTCGGTTGGCCTCTTAGGTTATTTTGAGGCCAATGGTTAGGTTGTTCCCACTGTGGTTGTTTTTGATTATAATTTACGTCATTTTGCTCAGGTTGCCACTGATTTTGTGATTTCCACTGTTCAGATTCTAAATTCCATTGATTGTCATTATAACTAAGCCTTTCATTATCCCATTGATGGCTTGTCTGGTCCCAATGTTGGCTGTTTTGTGTTTCTGATATTTGTTGAGGTTCAAAATCAAAAGGCGGAGGAGGTGGAGGAGGTAAAACCATAGAATGTTTTTGTTCAAGAGTTAATTTAGGTTTGTCATCGTCATCACTCAAATCCATATCTACACTTTCTACATTATCTTTTGGAGGTTTGTTAACAGCAGCCATTAATACTGCTGGTGGTGATGGTGGCATTGGTATGCCTGGTAATGTTCGATAATCAATATCAGTTGAAACAATAGGTGAATTCATATAAGGAGAATTTGTTAAACTTATTAAATTTCTATGATCAATATCAGAATTTTGATTAATAACTCCAGAAGGTAGAATTCGATCATCAGTATCTAACATTTTTGGAGTATCAATACAATGATTAATATTGGGTTCCCCACCAGTTTTACTAATAATAGGAGGTTCTCGATAAGATACTTTTTCATGAAAAGGAGGCGATGCCGGAGTGTCATTAATATTCCAGCTATTGTCAACAGATCCTCTATCCCAACTTGTAAATTTTGGTGTCACAATTGGCCATCCTTCTGAACCAGAAGATAAAATGTTAGCAATGTTAGTAATAAAATAAAATTTATTTTAAACTTATTATACATAAATATTTTAATATATTTAAAATTTATAAATACCAATTTGTTGATCTTGTGTTTGTGATATATTCTTTAATGATGAATCAGTTGTTAAATTATTATAACCAGAACTGGCATAAATTTGACTAGATATTGGAGTAGGTACATAAGCTTCATAACTGTTCGTAGAGAATGCATTACTTTTTATAGCTTGGTGTTGAGACTAAACAAAGGTTAATTATTTCATTTTTTTTTTTTTTTTTTAAAACAAAGTAATATTTTGTACTTGGGTATTATATAATGTATTTTCAGAACTGGAGAATGTAGGAAAAGCAAATGTTTCATCTGGAGGTGGTGATGGAGCATCATATGGGAATTGGCTGCTATCTTGTTGATCTTGATTTTCAATAACCGGAAAACTCATAGCACCAGGATCATACATATCTATAAAATGAGAAAATAATGAACAAATAAATACTAATCATGAATTCATGTATTTTAAATTTAAGTACTCGATTATTATTTATTAAACTCATGATAATACCCAATTTAAAATTTGATGAATTATTTGTTTTAAAAACATAAATAAAATATTTCATTTAAATTTATTCATCTAATTTATTTTCTATGAAAAAATAAGAATAAAATTGAAATAATGACCTTGAACAGTATTATATGATTCCGTAGAAGCATACATTTTCATATTTTCATCACCTGATGGTGCTGGTATATAAGCATTGTTGCTATTATTTTCAATTGATGTAGCATTTGCTAAATAATTAGAAGGTTGAGAAATATTTTCAAGATTAAAACTTGATAAATTAAAATCTTCAATAGAAACAGAAGAAGTAGATGGCGATGGAGCATTGATATCAGGCGAGGGCATTGGACTATCAGTTGGCATAGAATTTAAAAGTGTTTCTAATTTACTTTGTAAAAGTTTCACCCTCTTGCTGTAGTTGAAGTAAGCCTAGAGACAAATTATTAATCAAAAATTATCTTTAACACTAACCAAATAAAATAATTCAATGCTTTAAATTTTACTTGAGCAACAGTCTTAACTTCTCCATTTTGTTCATCATAATAAGATGTTGCTACCTCTAATGCATCAATAAGTTGGGCACGATCTATAGTTTCTTTTTTCAAACATTTTATGTAACTTTCAATTTTTGTCATACCATCATTCAATTCGTTGAGAAACTCATGACTTCTATTACGATCTACAAGATAAACATGTATATATAATATATATAAATATATAATAGTATAAAATTTAATAATTTTTGTTAGTCACATTGAGTGTGACATACTTATTTATTAACAGGTTATAAAGTAACTAGCGAACACCAATTTCAAAACTAAAAAATGATTGAAAACTTAATAAAAATATTTTTTTTTCTTTTTCCAGTTTTCTCAATATTAATATGTAATATGTTATAGTAGAATACAATAATCAAGACTTCAAAACAATGATGGTACTACTACAAATATCAAAGCCTTGAGCTCTTTTTGTATCCAATCACATGATTCTTTATTAATTGTAAATTGTGCAAATGAGAAAATCTTGAATTTTTTTTTTATATTAGTGGATTTATAAAAATAAAAATTTCTTTTGCAATTCAAAAAGACGGAGATTAATAATATTTGTAATTATATTGATATTTTTCATTTCTAACTACAATCTATTTTTTTATAGATATAATTTTATTACATAGCGCTATCTATGTAAAATGATTAATAAAAATATATAAATATTAATAAAAAAAATACCTTTAAGCATATTATGTATGGCTTCATTACTAGTCAATGGTAAATTAGTTTCTTTTAGTGTTTTCATTTTTAAATCAGTAAGTTGTTCTAACTTAACACATGAACGAATTTTAGCCGTTAGTGTATGAATCTAAAACGTTGAATAAAAAATTTAAAGTTAAAATTGATATTTGTTAAATTTAATTTAATCATTTTTCAATTTTTTAAAGTAGTAAAATATAAAATTTACTAACCTGAAATTCTTGAACAGGATCAGCCAATTTAAGTTTTTGAATTGGTGTGGTTAACAAACCAGTTAAATCAGCTAAATAACTATCATCATAAACACCTCTTTCTTTCCATATTTTAATAATTCTTAATATTTTTCCTTGAATTTTTTCATCTCTGAACCATTATTTTAAAATATTAATTATTCAACATATCAAATTATAGTTATAGTGTATACTAACCTGACATAAGGAATAGCTTTTTGAATAGCAGTTGCCCAACCATCCACAAACATGTAATTTTTTTTTTTACTGTATTGAATAACATCATTAGCTAAATAAAAAAGAGTCAATCGCTTTTCAATTTTAACTTTTCTGATTGCTTTTAACCAATTAGCAATGATACTCTTATGATGTTCATGTCTTTTTAAGCACCATGTTGACAAGGTTTGAATAGCATCTTGAGTGTCTTTTAGAAGCATAAGCTTTTTTTCAAACTCTTGATCAGAGTACTCAATCATTTTATTATTTGAAGATAAACAACACAATGTTCATAACATTTATAAAAAAATTATTTAATTGTTATTAATTTAGAAATATTAATGGAGACAAAACTATATACACACTTCAATATTCTATAATTGTTTATATGTAAATCAATGACAAACCTTTTAATTTAGGATATTAATATCATATTATTTAAGTTTCAGAAATCAATCAAGTCATTTAAAATAAAAAAAATTGTTATGAAAATAAAATATTCATACATCAAATTAAAACATAGTATTTACTAAATTAATGTTCATTTTTAAATTGTATTTACTATTGCAAGTAAATGCAGCTACTTGGGTAAGTCTGTGAGGAGGAACAAAAATTACGATAACATTATCATAGTTCATGGAAGAAAATATTATGTTTATTAATTTATTTTCAAATGACTTATAATGTAGGAAGGAAATACAACCATGAAATATTTAAATAATAACTGTCTATTTTTTAAAATTCAAATAACTTCCAAAGTATTAAACCAAAAGTTTTTATAAAATAGTAATTTGCTTAATTGGATAATTTATTCTATTTTATTAGGGTTCTCCTAGCTGAGGCCCTACGAACCTCACACGACTTCAGCTCGTTAGCCTCTTTGGACCGTACTCATAAGTAGCTCATTGATTCAGATAGGAGTTCCCGGCTACGGCAGTCACAATAAGTGTTTTGCAGGAAAAATATTGCATTAGAATCAGTGTAACAAAAATATATTAAACATTAAGTTATTAAAATCAGGAAAATTTAAATGAAAAAATCGTAAAATGTATAAGGTTGACGGTTGTATAATAAAGTATTCACTTAGGATGTATTAAGAAATCATTTTAGGAGGATTTTTAATTTGTTTTATTTTCATAAACATGCTATAAAAATTTTTATACTAAAAATCAAAGTGATAATCAAAAAATGGTAATTAAGGCTATATATCATAGAAGTCGGCCTAAAAAATATTGATAGCGCTGGTTTAAGGGGGTCAATCGCCAATATCCTCCCTCCTTAAATACGCTCCTAATATACACAATAAATAACAATATTCTAATTATAATATAATTGTATTTAAATTATAGAATAATTACAAAAAAATTCGAGAGGTTATTATTCCTGGCATTTTGTACAAAAGTCAATTTTTAAAGAATACTGGTTACTGTGATTTGACGTTAAACAGCATAGTTGTCATAGATGGATACTAATTTTGATAATAAACACCTAGACTTATACATTATATATGAAATAAATAAGATTACTAATACTGTATTGTTATAATGAAATATTATATATTATATTATATTATATGAAGTATATGCGCAAATGCAAAATCGTATTCTAATATAAACTCTACGTGGACATAAAAAAAAAGATCAAAGATACAAAAGTAAATTTGAATAGTAAGTTGATTATAAAGTCAAATATCAAACAAAAGATAAATAAAAAAAAATTGTATTAATAACATATTTAAAAGATATTGACAGAAAGTATCTGTATAAACCAAACATGATATATAAAAATAACTATCATAAAATGAAAACAAAAAGTTAGTTAATAATATAATCCAATCAATTCATGTTTAACAACTATAACATGTATGAAATATAAATTAAAGAGAAAAATTGACTTAAAAATCAATTTTCTATAAATTCAGAGTCAAAATTTATATATGCGCAAAAATAAAACAATAACCTTTTTCAAAACATGCAAATAAACTTGAAAAAAAATTTCTTGAAAATAGGAGCACGATAAATAATTTTCCTAGAAAATCATTTTTCCCCTGATTTATTATATCTATTTTAAAATGTTTGATACATAAGTTACTATTTGAAAAAATTATGTAGATAACTCTATAGGATATAAGGAATGGATGTAAAAATTATTTTGTAACAGATAATTAGGATACATATGTAACTAAAAAATTCAAAATAAATTTTTTTGCAAAAAACTTAATATTTTATGAGAAGTCATGTAGCTAAAAGAATTATTTCATATTAAATATTTAAACTAAATCTGTAATCTGAATGTATTCAGAAAATTTTAAAAAGTAATTTTTTTTAAATAGCGTTTTTGTAAAATAATTTTTTTTTTTGCGTTTTTTGCGACAAAAAAACAATTTTAGAATATGTATCAATAATTTGCTACTCCAACCAAAGTCGTTTGAATAATCAAAGTAGTTTCTAATAATCTAGAACGATCAAAACCATTTTTTGAAAATATAATCATACAAAGACAATAAACCTGATGAAAATCTTAAAGTACTTAACAATATCTATGTAATAGCGTCTTTAGAATTTATAAGAAATATAATGGTTATTAGCTTCGATGCAAAGCTGAAAAGGTATTAATTTTACCATAATATGTTTATTATTTTTTTTTTTGTGTCTGTTACCACTTTTTCTCAGCTCTCACCGAACCGGTTTCTTTCAACGATACGTCAAAAGATCACAAATTGTATCTAGTCGAAGACATTACCCACAAAAATTGAAAAAATTTCCCTCGTTCCCCGTAAATGGGGGAAACCTCCAAAAAAATTACGAATTTAAAAATCGCTAATTTTCGAAATTTTTTCAATTTTTTTTACTTAAAAGTGCCATAACTTTTTCAAAAATAAACATATCAATATAATTCTTTTTTATATAGATGCATAATATCATTACCTTTCATTTGGTATATTTTTTTCATAAATTTAACCCTTAACCTGCCCACAAGGGGGGATTTAAAATGACAACTTTTTCACAAAAAATTAATTTTTTTAACTTAAATTTTGAAAATGTTCCGGAAGGTCTGACACTTTTATATATATCTTAAATTAAAGCTAATGTAATATGCTTTATCATGAAAAAAAAAAATTTCGGACTTTATCTTATCTTCATGGTGAAAATGGCTACCGAATGCTATTTTTGTGTGAAAATTTTCGATTTTGTATTTTCCATTTTTAACTTTATTATGCTATAACTTTTTGAAAAATGTATGAATCATTACAATTTTTTTATGAGAAGTAGTATTTATATAGATCTTTCATTCGACATACTGTTTTTTTAAATCGGACCATTTCCCTAAATACAGGGGGGATTCAAAACATAAAAATGCATATAGAAAGTAGAACTTTTTCAACGTAACTTTTGAAAGTGTTCCGGAAGGTCTGACACTTTTATATATATCTTAAATTAAAGCTAATGTAATATACTTTATAATGGTAAAAAAAAATTTCGGACTTTATTTTATCTTCATGGTGAAAACAGACATTAAACTTAATAAAAAAAATACGATTTTTGTAAAAAAATTCTTTTTTATATTTTTAACTTTATAATGCTATAACTTCTCGAAAGATGTATGGATCAATATAATTCTTTTTTTTGTAGATGCATGATGTCTTTACCTATCATTTGGTATATTTTTTTTATAAATCTGACTTTTTACCTGCCTACAGGGGGGGATTCAAAATGACAACTTTTTCACAAAAAATTGACTTTTTCAACTTAAATTTTGAAAGTGTTCCGGAAAGTCTGACACTTTTATATATATCTTAAATTAAAGCTAATGTAATATACTTTATTATGCAAAAAAAAAATTTCGGACTTTATTTTATCTTCACGGTGAAAATGGCTACCAAATGCTATTATTATGTGAAAATTCTCGATTTTATTTTTTACATTTTTAACTTTATAATGCTATGACATATTTAAAAGTGTATGGATCAACATTATTTTTTTATAAGAAATAATATTTTTTAATAATCCCTTTTTCATTCGACATACTTTATCTTAATTAGGATATTAATAATGAACTAGCAGATCATGTAGCTTTTGGAATAATCCACCAATTTTTTAAAATTAAACACTATCTAAAGATTTGCATCGAAGCGTTTTTTTTTTATAGTGATTTTAATCACTGTCAGATATCATTAATTTGATCCATCTATGCCACGTCACCACTGTGCCGCGACCCCCCTGTGCTGGGTTTTTTTTATATTGAAACCTTAAGTAATTGCGTTCTATTTGATATAATATTTTTGAAAATCTGACCCTTTACTTGCCCACAAGAGGGAATTGAAAATAGCAACTTTTTTAACTCAACTTTTGAAAATGTTCCGGGAATACTTTGTCTTTTAAATATATGTTAAAATATTTTAAGTATTAAAAGTTCAAAAAAAAAAATTTGTACCGACGACCTATGACACGGTACTGTGTCACCTATATTCTATGTACAAATGAGAGTCCATGTAGAACAAAATAAATATAGTTTAAAAGCGTGTTTTTTTAGTTTTTTAAACTATATTTATTTTTTACTTTTTAGTTTCATGTTATGATAGTAGTTTCTATCAATATCATGTTTGTTACGGGTAACGGGAAATCAGGGTTCGATTCCGGGGAGGGTGTCTGAGAAACGGCTCCCACATCCAAGGAAAGCAGCAGGCGCGTAAATTACCCACTCCCGGAACATGGAGGTAGTGACGAAAAATGACGATACAGGATTCATCCTTTGTAATCGGAATGAATGAGTTCTATATCTCTAAATAAGAATAAAGTGTGTTAATATATATTTTTAATAGTAATTAGAATATAAATATATACATGTAAAGCGACTTAAGTACGTAAACGTATCATGCATTAGGTATAGTCGTGTTTTGTGGGCGGGCGGGTCGGACTAACGTTATACCTGAGGTATAAACGGCGGTAGGAATATATACGTAAGCCGTATGACACGCGGATGGTATTGGTCAGTCAAAATAAAAATTTGTTTATATATACAGGGTGTAAATCTTTCGAACCATAGTAATATATGGGCGAGTATATTGGTAAAGTGTAAAATAGGATCTCGTTTTTTTTTTCAAAATTGGAGGAATTTTGGAATAACCCCATCGAATTTCTTTAAAATTAAAAATAAATCATACCACGATATTTCCCGCAAAATTCTCATACGAATTAAGTGGTCACTCGATTTTTTGTAACTTTTGCTCATTCCCCTGAATTTTGAGTTCAAAGTTGGAAAAAAATTTCACATTAAACTTTATTGCAATAGGATAATTAGAAATAATTATTTTAATATTTGAAATATTCATTTCAATATTGTGATTGTTTTATTTTCCCGACCTAAAAAGAAAAATTTTTTATAATTTTATAACAATTTTAATGATAAAAATTATAATCGGTTTGAATAAATAATAAAAGACGAAATAAACTCGTGAAATTAAAAAAATATCAAATA